TTCACCGGTGAGTTTTGTGTCTGTTCGCTTGGCAGCTGAGGTAAACCAGCCAGCAGAGGATGAGAAAGAAGCGGCAGAATGCTGGGCTCTCAGCAGTTGATCCCGGGTCTGCTCCCTGCATGGTCAGCGCTTTCTCGACACATCTCGACACACATTGCACGAATTTACCAAACTAATTCTGAAACGATATCCCATCATATCCCGTCATATCACTGCATCATATCCCATCACATCCCATCATATCCCATCATATCCCATCTGACCTCAAAATCAGATGTTTCATATTGTTTCATGATGTTTCTATTTTCTCCTAGTCTTCGTTCTATACAATTTAAGCATATCCAAAGCATACAATACACATAGTTGTTGAGCCAACAAACTTAAAAGGAGTCAGACTGATTGCATGAGGTCATGCTGAGGTCATGTTGAGATCTATGGATTGTCTTAAAACCAAATCATCATGTACTTGAATTAATTGTGATTACTTAGATTTCATTCTCGCTCAAGTCTTCAAACTTAGATTTCATTCTAGCTTAATTCTTGTAAAGAATTTTGGGTCTCTGTTGTGGCCTCTGCGGTCCTTCCGGTGGCCTCCCGGGGCGGCCCGTGGCCACCCGAGGCGACAACGACATCCTCCTGGCGGCCCTCCACGGTCACCTCGGGGGGGTCCGGCACCTCCTGCGGACGGTGCCTGGCGCCGTGGCCGCGACGGCCGGCTTCGGCGCCACCGCGCTGCACGTCGCGGCGGGCGAAGGCCACGCGGAGATTTGCCGGGTGCTGCTGGCGGCGGGGGCCGAGGTGGACGCCAGGGAGATCGAAGGCCTCTCGGCTCTGAAGAGATGGATGCACGGTGCTTTGGGGAGATTTCAAGGTGCTATAAGAATTTCGAACTCGTGAAATATAAAGGTTTTGGTGGGATTGGTGGGTAAAACATTGTAAAACTTTGGGCGGTTTTGGTGGGCTTGGTAGGTTTCGAAACTTTAAAAAAGGCAGTTTTCAAGTTTCCAGTTGAAATCATTTGGATCAACAACCACACATGGACAGAATTTGAAAAAACAGAAGATATCAATATATATCACACGATTGAAACAACTATAATTTCAATTAATTTAAATCATGAAAAGAATTGAACTTGGCGGTATTTGGGGCTCCTGATGGAGCCTTGGATGTGCAGCTTCTCGGAGACTTGGCACATTCATGGATTTTTCACAGTCTTTTCACAATCTTCTCACAATCTTCGGTGTCTTCGCTTTGCTTTGCATCAGAAGGACATTTCTGGGGGCAGTCGCTCGCCCGAGGTGAGACCCCGCTGCATTGGGCGGCGTATAACGGCCGCGTGGAGGTGGTGAAGCTGCTCGTCGAGGCGAAGGCCTCGGTGACTGTGAAAGACAACAAAGGCCGGGGGCCTCGGCTGGGAGATGTGATGGGCTTTTGATGTTTTTTGCTTTCTTATTTTATCATATTATATTGCTACTTATTACTTTACTTATTACTTTGTGGCGGCTGTTTTGTTATTGAACGTTGAGACTTCCTGTGGTCAGTAGTCAGTCAGTCAAGGTGTCTTAAGGTCCTTAGGCACTAGGGTTGTTTAGCTGAAGGTGATTGGAGATGTGGAGACACAGTACGCATTTAGACAGGCATTCTCGACATCATTCGACATCCCAAAGACACAGCATTGCTTGAGACATGGAAGCAGCATGAGAAGACACCTCCAATGCAAATGGATGTAGACCCAATGAATGTTTGTTGATAGAGATGCGTCATGATCGATATATGAATATGCACAACGCACCTCCAGCCTCCACATGCAACATATGTTGCATGAAAATGATTAGCATACATCACACATTGTCATACATCCTGTCTTGATATCATAGTGATATCTATCAAGACGTCTCGCCAGAGCCAAAATCTACAAAACTGAAGGAACAATCTATCTGCTGATTGGAAATGTATGGACAACCTGATATTGAGCTGGTTTTTCTCGTTGCAATTCCTGGTCCTAGCAAAGAACCTGTTTCCTACATGTTTGTGTTTTGTCGGGTGAAGTGGCCTGCTCGCTCCTTCAACCTTTGAGTGCAGCAAAATGGTAAGTGAGCACACGCTACATTTTGATACATTTTGCCACGCAGTAATACTAGTGGAAGTTGTGGATGTACATGGACACCTTTCAAAGAAGTACTCTTCTCAAGGACGCTTTGTGCTTCCTTTCTAGCGGTGTTGATCTTCTTCTTGATACGTACGCTTGATTTCCATGTATGGTGAAGGCTCTCAGCAGATTGCCTTTGTTCATCAATTTTTTCCGTTTCGAAGATGAAACTTCAGCCCACCTGACATATGGAAGCAGAGGCTTTGAAGGCATTTCTCTGCAAACTTGTTTGGGGTGGAGGATTAAGGCAAGAGTCTCTACATGTTGATCTCAAACATTTCGGGGTTGCGCATATGAAACGCACAAAAACTTTGTAAATCAATTTGTCAATCTGGCTCTGGGCATTGCGATTGGACACCTATAGAAGTTACGACTTCGGCTTTCACATGCCTTGGGAGCGCTCAGGCCGGACGCCCTTGGATCGTGCAAGAGAAGAGGGCCACGCCGAAGTCGTGAGGCTACTTGAGGACGCCGAATCTTGGCTGTGACGATAAGAACAGGTCCCTCTCGGTCCACATCTGCGCCAATCTGTTCACAAGACCGCCTCGGTGAATTTGAGACGTGCGCATAGTACTCGTAACATGCAGAGGCATGGATTCCTGAAATCTCTTTCAACCTGCTGCAGCTCATGGTTACAAAACGCTGGCTCACATTGGAGTATGTTGGAGAAGAGAGGCTGAAGACTTCAAAGACTTGTCTCGGGCAGCTTCCCATGCCCTTGGATTTCCTTGACACATTTTTTTACTAGGATGTTAGCAAAGCGTCATTTCCGAAACCCGATTATCAGACAGGAACTCCACTGTTAGTTTCCTGCACGGACATGGGACGGCTGCCCTCGCTAGGAGTGACTGCAATTTGCCTTCCCGTAGCCTTCTCAGACGTCTGCCGGGTGGCTTTTCGGGACTATATGATGCTATATGTACTAGTTATGAAGAATTGACATGTTTCGAACTCTTTGGGAAGATACTCTTTGTATTCCATTTTGTGATTCATCACCCGCAGTCATCCTGCCAAGTGGCCCGTCCCATCGGGCTTCCGGAAAAAGATCCAAGGCAAGATCCTCTGCTCGCGGAGATAGGATCAGCAATGATGGGCGTAGATCACCATCAAATCAGTAAGCATTGGTTTCCATGAAAATTAGCAATGAGAATCAGCAAAAGTCAACCATGGTCCAACCTGAATCATCAAGTACATCAAGTTAGAGTTGGCCCATGCTGTGTGGATGTACGGTCGTACTCCGAGCTGGCGCTTCCATGGCCAAAAAGTTGCATCAACTCATAGCTTTTTGAGCACCCCTCATCCAAAGTTGTGCCTCTGATTTTGTTGATTTTCGGATGGTTAAGAGTTAAGCTCAAGTATGAGCACTTCGCGGTTGCAAAGCCACTTCTTAGGAGTTCGCAAACGTAGCGCAAATCTGAGCATGTTGGGTCAGTTTGCATAAAATGAAGCTTGTATCATCTTGTAACATTGAATCATTTTAGGGGTCCAGGCTCTTGATCTGTGCAGTTTTTATTGATGGCCGTGGCAAGCAGCACTGAGCTGTGGCCAACTACTGCCAACCAAGGCAATGTATGAAACATATGAAATGAGACTTTTGTCATTGAATCAGATAGATCAAGCTGGGGTTGGCAGTTAATCGCTCAGCAAATATTGTGCAAATGTGTACAAAGTGTACAACCACGATGTGCTTGAGCCAGAAAACGTGTGGTGGAAGAGTTCGACCATGTCATGTCTTTCAGCTTCTTGGCATCTCCTCCCTCAAGTTAAAGTTGTTGATATCAAGTTTGAGCAGGTCGTCAACCTTTGGAATGTTCCTTGACGTGGCGCAGCTTGTAGCTCCAACACAGAAAAGGATCCGCAGGAAACCAGTAGGTCTTAAATATGCATTCATTGTGCAGTTGTGAACGGAACCAAATTTAGCAAAGTGGCAATGGATGGTTAAATGGGAACCAGAGTTTCGCACAACGAATCCAAAGTCGTTGGAACAGTGCCTTTGCAAAGCCATTGGCGTGTTCCTTTTCTTGCCGCCACTTTTTCTTGAATTCATTGCAATCGTGTCTGCGCTTGGCCTCAGTTTTGGATGCGAAATGTACCATTTTGCAAAATGAGTTGCATCCAGGGACAGGAACGTGCTTTTACTTTTACACGTGCATTTTCTGGGTGCCCGGCTTCGAATTCAGTTTCATGGGCAATTCAGCTGCTCTTTGCACACCTCACTCAGGTTCTGTGGCAGGCCTTTGAGCCTTAGAGTTTCTTCGGTCGACTACAGAATATTGCAGGACTCGGGAAGGGGCAGGAAACTTAAAAGTCATCGGAAATGGAAGAAGCTGACTTAGTTTATCAGACTAGGAAATTTTAATTGGTGGGATTGGATCAATTTCTGTGTGAATCAATCTCACTTGAGTAATTGGGTCTGGAGTGGTGGAATTTTTCTACCCACAACATTTATCAATGAAAGCAGGAACAGGTGTGTGACCTTCACTGTCAGTTGAGTTCCCCAGGCTCGAAACAAGCTAGGGCCCTCTACCATCGGTACATCGCCTCTACCACGCATGCTGGATCTTGAGATTCGCCAAAAAATGGTGATGGCACACCAAAAGACCTGGTAGAAAGGGATTAACAACTCAATGATGTGGATTTATGTGGATCTTTTTCGCAGGGTTGCTTGCCTCCAGGTTACTGATCACCATGGGCAGCGGCAGCTCGGCTCAGGCATACCAGCTGACAGCCGAGGAGGCGGTTAAGTGCTGCCAAGTTGTCACGTCCCCAACAAAGATGCCGTTGACCACTGAGCTTTGTTCCTGTAGCTTCCAAGAAATCCATGAAATTCAGTTGTGCCAACTGCTTCGCTATGCGTCACCATGCTGCACCATCGGCATTGGAGGCAGCAGATGTTGACACTTTTCTGGCGGCTGGACTCGCACAGGCGGGATCACACAACTTACGAGACGGCCTGGGTGTGGAGGAGCGCTATCTAAACTTTGAGTTCGGAACAGTCCAAGGAAAAGCCCCTGCTGGGTAAGAAGCTCATCTCATAGAGGTTGTTTCAGCTCATCTGAACAACAGTCACCCAGTACAAGTCTGAGGAAATAGAGCCACAGATTTGCAAAGTCAGCCTTGCAACCTGTGGGTGGAATGTAGGGAATGTATTTCGATCCGTGTCTTCCAACACGCAACTTGAAACATCTTCAGACTGCACCATACTGAACCCAGATCCTCTGTCGATTTGAAGATGTAAATTTTCGTCAGAAATTGGGGGGGTGCTGTGCTATGTTGTGTTTCCTTTTGCAAGGTCCCCAGCATGAGGAGAAGAGTGGAGGAAATGCAGGCAAGTGTTACCTTGCAAGCTTTCTACCTTTGCCATGCTTCATGTCCCGTGCGCCTGATTGTGGTTTCACATCCATGGCTGAAGATGGTAAAAGCTTGACAGCTTGATGGGTCATGCTCCAGTCTGGAAGGCCAGAGCTCATGACTCCGATACACTCCCGGAAGAGGTGGAGCTGGTGCAGCTCAAAGAAGAGATTTGTCTTTGAAAAACTTGTTTTAGCTTGACCTCGGTGCGTTGCACCGTTGCACCTATGATTTCACTAAATATTATGGCTATATGCATTTGCAATGTGTGATTTGTGGGCCCGACTGTTTGATGATATAACCTGAACAGTGACCTGTGGTCGGAGCACAAGGAAGGACTCGTTGATGTTGCAGGTCTGCTCGTTGCATCAAGCAGAAACTGCTGCAGCTCAGCGCATTCAAGAGCTAGACAGCAATTTGCGAGAGGTGCGGTCATGTGGTACCCGATCGGCGATTGTAGCTGTTCCAGGAACCTTTATTTCGATCAACACCCATAAAGAGCACGCTTGGCAGATGCTTCGAAATTGAGTCTGACACGTAGAATACAGAAATTATGGATTCCAGGATCCCTGTTTCCCCTCCTTGCACAGGGATTCCATGAACTTCAAGCATGCAACTGGTTTAGTGTTCAATTCTAGTCCTGTTGACTCTGGCGGCTGCCTCTAAGCCGGTTTCAGTGACTTTCACCAAAGCGGATGCGGCTTGCAGGAAGCAAAAGGTGTGGAGCAAGTGCTTGGGCAACTTGGTGCAACTATAGTGTCACTTCCACTGTGAAGGGGTTGCTTTGTAAGATCTGAAGTTGAATCACCGACAGGTTGGCAGTGCAGGCAGACCGATCCATTGCATCTCCAATCGATCTATATACCTATTCTACATTGTGATGTGTATACACTTAGGTTTCCGAGAAGTTCCGCAGGCTTAATTGAATACATAGCTACTTGTGAGAGATGTAGACCCTCTAGTGTGGAAACTGCCTGACACAATGGAAATTGACCAGTGTCAAGAGGCAGCAACAGCAACCATGAAGAGTCATTTGGTTCAGGTCAGCAGGGGGAGGAACGTCATCTTCAGCAGAACTGGCGACAGAGGCATCATGAAGAATAAACCATGAGTCACAGAGCTATAGACCAGTGATCATGTGGTCATTGCGTGTCACAAGTGCATCTTGTTTAGGAAGTCGGATAGGTTGTTGCAAGTTGTGGGCCACCTCGGATTTGTCATGTCTCCATCACTTACCGACTTCTGCCTCCGGTCTCCTGATCCTCTCCCTGTTGGGCTCTTCCGGTAGGAATCCTGAATTGGCTCCACCTAGGTTACGTGGATTTACGTGGGCTTTCTGGATACAAGAAAACCCCATTCCAAGTTCATACAATAACAATTCAAAATGATACATTATCATCAATATCATACAGTCATGCGTCATCTTGATATAGATCTGGAGGCCAGAAGAGAGTGGAATGAAGTTATTTTGAGGATCAAGGCTGGAGAGTCTCCACAAAGCGTTGCAGAAAGGAAAGCATTGGATTTTATTGTGTTGGAAGAGAGCCGACTGCCCAAGACCAGGCACTTTGGGAAAGCCAGAAATTGAAGCACATCTTGGAGATTCAAGAGCAACGATTTGGCAAGGACATGAGTTTCAAGATGGTACAATCAAAAAGTACTGGTACCTCTTCAAAAGACATTCTGAAAGCGTTCTGCCGAGCACACTTTATCCGTAAGATGAGTCAGATGTGTTTCTTGACCTGTGCCTAGGAGGATCGAGACACACTCAACACCAAGATTGATCTGGCGGCCGCTCTGCAGCTGCAAAAGGATTTCACCGGAGCGCAGAAACAACTGGAAGAAGTATTTGAAGCTCTTAGCCGAGCTCGATCTGCCGATCTGAAGCCACAACTGGAGGAAGTATCTGAAGCTCTTGGCCGAGCTGGACCTACCGATCTCAAGGATGAACTTCATGGTTGTTGTGAAACATCAGCATGTGCCCACCCTACCACCCGGAAAGCCAGAATCCAATCTTTTCGTGGTCATTATGGCTTTGATATGCTTTGATCATCTGGAGCTACTTCTTTGAGAGTTGCTAGGGCTTTTTGCTTTCTTTGAACAACTTTTTCAAAACATACGGTTTTGCTGCTGCTGGCTCAAAGTCTTTTTGACATTTTTTTGTCACTACTGGTAAACACAGTATTTGCCCAAAAAACACCGAACGTTGCGTTGCGACTTTCTCCCTTAATGAACATATTTTTTGGGATTATGGTTTCCAGCAAAGTGTAATGATCCCGTGCCCCTAATATGAAATACATCCAAAAGGGGTCCAAAATAATGAGGAGATCCAATACAAAACCAGAGTTTTAAAGGGCCCTCAACGGTTTTGACCCCGTAGCCAGGATGACCCACTCACACGCAGGGCGGTCGACTGCTTTGCGAGTTTACTTGGATGCCTTCACGAAGACAAGGACCCTTGCTTGATATGCACTTCGATATACTTCAATCAGTCTTCAATCAACATTTGCCTGCTAGATGTAAAATGTCAAAAAGCATAAAAAGCAAATGCTAAGGGTCATTGTATGTTTTGCTTCGAAAGACATTTGGTCGACTGTCCAACTGAAAAGCATTGTGCTAATCACATAGTCTCGCCAGCCAAAGGCTGAAATCTCAGCCGGAGGATGCACAAGTTGTTATTGGGTAAAGTATTTTTGGTGCTGGTACTTGCAAACCATAGTTTTCAACATCATTACGATATGGTTTCATCCAGAGACATCTTAGCTTCAAAGCGTCCAAACGTCCAACCATTTCCAATTGAAGAACATGCCCACGCTCGCACCAAATACACAGAGATGTTTTTCCACCTGAGGCAAGAAAGCATCAGGGTTCCCAAATCGTATATTGTGTAATTTCATCGGCTGATGGTTTGGTTTTCTCTAAGTCGCAGTTCGAGGGATGAGCGAGTGACTTTGTTTTCCAATCGCAACTCCTTGTTGCCCAAACTTGAAGAGGAGACAGTGTTGAAGGAAGTCTCGAAAATGCAATCGCAAAAGCTTGGGGAGGACCATATCGCATACGACCTGATCAGCTGATGACTCAAGCAGTTGAAAGTAAATTGTGAGCCATGCGCATCGTGCAAAACTGTTTCAATCAGGATGAAAACAACCCGTTTCGATAATTTTTGATGTTTTGATAAAGATGCGCATTCAGGAGCATCCACTGACCGTGAACTCCAAGGCCGACCTAGCAGTTCTACAAGAACGGGACGAGCAAAAAGAAGCCGCTCAAGTGTTGAAGGAAATTTTGCGAGAACCACATGGACATGACGTGGGCATTGATTTTGTGAAAGATCTTACACTTAGCCCTGGACCTGCTGCTGCGGCGAAGGACGCGTGCGTGTTTTCCTTGTCTTTTTGTGCAGCAATTTGCTTTTTCCCCACATCTTTGTGTGGGGTTCTTGTTTTTGATTCTGTATCCCGCTCCCGCCCGCTCCTACCGGCCCCGCCGCCTCCACACACAACTTTGTCACACACTCTCTTTCACACACAACTTTGTCACACACCATCTTTCACACACACACAACTTTGTCACACACCTCCTTTGTCACACAACTTTGTCACACACTTGCTCAGAAATGTCATTGCGAATTACTGTTGTGGAATGCATCTTGCGTGCAAAAACACTCCAATCAACCTGACAGAAAATGGTGAATGATCAGAGGCGAGAAATGCTCACGCTTTGCTCACGCTTTGCTCACGCTTTGTGGGAGGTGTCTATTTTGATGAGGAAACCATAGGAAACCCATATGCACCCTAAGGCACAGCTTTCAGGCTGCAGACTCCTTGAGGCAGAATTTCAAATTTGAAGTAACTGCGTAGGAACCACCGGCACGCCACTCACAACCCTTGGCTGAAGCGGGGTTGCTACACCCCTGCCTCAGCCTGAGATATGTATATATATGTGCAACATTCCTTTTGAGCCCAAAGGACCCAGAAAGTACATCTATAATCTATATGATGGTATTATAACATGTTCCTTTTTGGCCCAAAGGACCCAAAAAGTACATAGTCCCAACTATGCTGAACATGGTCCTTTTGGGACCACTTTCCGCGAGATCGACCTCAAAAAGTTGTCCCTGAGACTTGCTGGGTTATATAACCCTTCGCTCAATTCAACCACAAATCCGCGGAACGTCGTTGTGATGATGTGTTGGGTGGAGTCTTGAAGAAATTTGTAGAGACTCATTTGGAGCTACCCAACTCTCGCGGCCTGCAGACACTTGTCGCACGCTGGCCATCGGCCTTGACTTGTTAAACCCTTCTCCAAAATTGAGAACTTGGATATCCACAAAGAAAACTCTTGAAAGTTATCAGCGTCCCACCTCAATCTTGTTGTCTTCCCCCGACCCAATTAAATTATGCGGCCAGTGTCCATGACCTCGCATGATATGGGCAGAAAGAGATGTCTCAGAGAGGCGCCGTGTAAGCCAACGGCGGAATCGATCAAGTGTAAAGAACATAGGCCCAACATCACACATTCTGCACCAAACTCATATTTCGAGGCGTGTTTCTGTGGGCGATCCAAACCTTGCAATTTTTAACCACTTCAGTCCAAGCATGAAATCTTGTATCATCCAACAGCCTCGTCCACAAGGAGCAGAGTTTGTTTTCGTTGCGCCAGGACCCCAAAGAGCTGGTGAGTCACAGTCTACCTGCTCCTCCGGGACCTTCAGATGCAGGCCACTGAGATGCCGATGGTTGGTGTGCTGGTTGCGAAAACGCTTGCCAGGGGCCGTTTCCGCGGGAGGAGTGAGTAGTGTCTTAGAATTTTGGCTAAAATGTATGATCCTGATTGTCGACTGAAACGGAAAGTATTCGGAAAATTCAGGTTTCGAGTGATCGTTCAGACCTTAAGATGTCTTGATTTGTTCACTGGAGTTCTGAAGTATCAGCTGTAGCTTCATTAGGGTCAATGATTGTCAATGGATCGCCTAGGAAGTGGGCGCCCAATGGGACGTGTTGGTTTCTCTTGAAAACACACTTCTCTTGAAATCAAAACAAGCAGTCTATGGCTATGGTAGTCTGTAGTCTTTGATTCTGTATTTTGAATCAGAAAGCCAATTTTCTGAAAAGTATTTCCTGGCACAAAGATATTTTCATTTACATTATACATATAGTGCGATCTGCTCTAAGACACAGCACTGCTTGGCCACTCATTTGCTCCAAATGAGATTGTGATCCAACCCTCGCTGTGCTTCGCGCTGAGATTATTCAGGTTGAAAGACATGAAATTATATTTCTTTCGTGTCAATGTAGAAACATTACTCTGTCAAAGTGCGGCCTTTCACGATGGTCCAAGTCTCATGTCTCACAGTCTTTCGATTTCAGGGTCTCACCTTTCAGGGCCTCACCTTTTAACTAATTTGAATCCTGCACATATCCAGAGCAAATTGCAGGAATTGGATGCAACCAAGTGATTTTCGGAATCGTGCGACAGTATCGTGGACATGTTTTTACTTACCTCGCCGCAAGAGCGAAAGAGCATGAAATATGAAATTCCTGTGGGATGTGGGCTTTTCTGTTCTGGCTCGGTGCTGCAGATGTTTGGCTTTCGGAGCTGAGTTGTGTTGCGAGGCACCACACCTCACGACCTTGCAACGGACGGCGATGACGAGAAGGTCATGGGTTTGCGGGAGCCAGTCCCATGCCAAAACCGTGTTGAATATGTCAGAAGATTCAGTTGTTCATTATTTTTGTGCCTGTAGTAGTGCTGAAATTTTTGCTGACACAGGTATACTCGGGAACTGGCTGGTTGGATGAACCAGCAAGTTTTTTCTGGCACTTCAAACCTTAACACTGCCTGATTCCAAATACTGTAGCGCGAGTTGTTTGAAATCCATAGCAGAGTCTCACCAAGTAGCAACGGGGGAAAACCATTTCTGTGTCATTTCATGTTTGAAAACATTGACAGCGGTGGTTGAAGATGGGAGGGTTGGTCGCAGCATGTCGCAGCATTGACATTTGCAAAGATCCGCATCCAGCTGTGCTCGAGTCTGGAAGGCCGGATCCCACGACTCGGAGAAGCTCCAAGAGGTGGCGCAACTGAACGAAGAGGCACCATACGTCCGAATACATCCCATGAGATCGTCAGAGATCGTCAGAGATCGCCAGAGACCGTCAGAGATCGCGAGACTTGTTTCTGCAACGTGTGCTTTGTTGGTCAGATTGTTTTGCCATGTTTTCCTGGACAAAGAAGGACTCGTTGGTAGCGTGGGTGTTGTAGGTTCGCTCATTGCGTCAAGCTGAAGCTGCTGCAGCTCGGCGCATTGAAGAACTAGAAAGTCGATTGCGAGAGGCATGGTCAATATTGTCCATGCATGTCCATTCTAGATTCTTTCTGCTGCCTTTCCAAGTCACAAGATTGTATAGACATTGTTGACTGCAGATGTCACAGAACTGAATTGTAGAAAATACATGCCATACATTGCCATACTATGCCATACTCAAAGATCCTGCACATCAGTCACACATCCAACTAGGCATCCGGGATCCCACATCTTCTGTATCTTCTGTCATGCTCAGAGTCTGGAAGGCCGAAGCTAATGAGTCGCAGAGGCTCCGAGAAGAGGTTGCGCAACTCCAAGAAGAGGTGCCATACAGAAGACATTCTAAGACTTGTTCCAAACCCGAGGTACACTGGTTGCACCAATGACTCCACAGTATGATATTTGCATATATTTGCCATGTGTCCTCTGTTATGTCAGTCTGTCTTATGATGCGATCTGGACACTGGAACGTTCTCAAACGTAGCTAATATGATGTATAATACTTTAGAATACTTTAGACATACTTCAGACCCCAAGCACGGAGAAGGACTCATCAATGTTTACAGGTCCGCTCGTTTCCTCAAGCAGATGCTGCTGCAGCACAAAACGTTCAAGAACCAGAAAATCGTTTGCCACAGGTGCCATCAAATAGACTTCGCTTGAGCAGATGCGTAAAACTTTTGCAGCATATTATGCGAAACAGGCGAAACAGAAGAACAACAGAAAATTATAGACAGAAGAGAGGATCGAGTCCGAATTATCGAACGTAGATTTCGATCAGGGACATCCTGCTGTTAGAGAATTCTCATTTTCCAGTACCTGAAATCTTGGAATTCTTCTCAGTGCACAACAGTCACAAGCAAGTTACACCTGAACCACAGCTGTATGAGCAGCGAAACTTTCACCCTCTTGGATAGGTTGACGTTCAAGAACCTCATCTGTACTTCACATTGCGAGACAAGCCTGCCATCCTGGAGAAAACGGCCGACATCTCCTACCACGGCCACATCAAGCGGGAAGAAGGTTTAGACTGCTACGTGTCCTTTCCTGGAAAATATGCAGCCGGTTGGGATGCATTGATCAAGGAACGTCACGGACAATCCGTGGCGTGCGTGTTCCTCTGCACTCCAGCCAACGGCCTTGGAAAGCACTATAAAGAAGAATTTGGTGGCCAGTGCTATTGCCCCACAATTTATGGGCAGCGGGACTTCAGGACTTTCGGTTACTTGAAAGAGCTGCCAGCATCTTGTAGCGAAGCAGAGGAGAAGATTGAGGTAGAGAAGGCGAAAGCCACGAAGACTGTTGTGGTTCGATCAGATGCCAGCGACAAAGACAAACGAGAAGCTGAAGAGAAAGCACGACAAGCTTGGGAGGACAGTGGCAGAGTTGCCTCCTGGGGATGTGAATGGTTCCACACGTGGAAGAACCAGGTGGCCGAAGCCGTGAGGTTGAAGCAACGTCTCAAGGTCGTGTTTTTCCCTGCACAGACTGGCAAAGGTATAGTTTCTTTTGAGGATTTGAACAGAGATGATGTAAATCTTTGGGATGGAGTTGGCTGCGGTGGGAGCCAAAAGTGCGAAATCGCATACTTGGAGCGGATGAGGCAGCAGCAAGGAGAGGCTTGGAATTATGATCATGTGGACGTCAGCCATTTCCTGAAGGAAGAGTTCAAAGTTGGGGCTAAAGTTGATGCGTGGGACGGCAAGCAGTGGTGCAGAGGTACTTTACTCGATGTTCCCTTGAGGATACCAGAGAAGCCCGAGGAGGCAAAATGGACCGTAGAGTCCCAAACGAAGTGGCACATTTTTGTTACAGATCGGGTTAGGCATGCAGATTTGATTCAGGCGATGCTTGCAGAAGTTGGGCGCGAAAACTTCGTGGACCTGGTGAAAGACTCATTATCAACAGATCTTGGGATCGTGACAAATCAGGATTTTGTATTCCCAGACGGCACACCTTCGCTCGCTCTCAGACTTGGGATTGACAACATTGCGTCTCTCCAGCATGTACGGAATGTAGTTTTGAATAGTGACTTGGAATCGCGCATAAATGAATCTTTGAAGAAGTGGCAAGTGCACGTGGATAAGACGCACTTTTGCAAGGTTTTTGAGCGAGAACTGCTAAACCTCTCAGACTTGACAGACCATCAAAAGGAGAAAGTGAGAGATATCAAAGATCTCATGAAGCACGGGGTTGTCCATCTGTCGGCTCCTGCAGGTAAAAGATGGGTGCCTAGCCGGTTCGAAGGTAAAAGATGTCTTGATTACGGAATTCTCAGCGGCGGGTACGGTTTTGCTGATTGCCCGCGTTACAGTGAATGTAAGATTTCTGATCACAAGATGTTTTGGCTTAGATTGCGCTTGCCCATTTTCCAGACTGATACGTGGAGGTTCGCTTGGCGGCCTAACTATGAATGTCCTCCGGAAGTGCCTGTTGAGCAATGGCGGGCCGTGCTTGCAGAACAATGGGCCGCTTACGTGCCATGTTTTTCTCAGGATCCCGACCAAGATTGGGGATATTTTCACCAGTTTGCTGAAAAGAGCATGCGTGAAGCATTGCACTTGTGTGGCCAGCCCGTGCCTAGGCCAGGCCATGCGCGCGGGAATTTGCCTCGTGTGATCAAGGCTGAACGCCCCCAGGTGAATACGTTCCCTGCCAGAAAACTTGTTAATGTGCTTGGTCGTCTCTATGAAGTGAAGCGACAGTTAGCCAAGTCCCAGGGAGACAAAAAGCTTTTGCAAAAATTATGGTCGACTTGGCCGTCTGAATACAATGAGCTTTGGGGGTCTTGGAACCACGCTATTGAAGTGTTTGAACAACGCATTGCGCTTGAAAACAGGAAGTCCAAGAACCAAAGGCTGACCGAGTGGCGTACCAGAATGCGCCAGGGGGGCAAAGAGGTGACCCGGTGGATGAAGCCTCACAAACCTCCAACACCACGCTCTGTTTCCGAAGATTCTTGCGCCACGATCACGCAAACCCTTGATTGTATTCGTTCTTTTTGGCAGCGTATTTGGAAACGTGATGACCTCGTTCCACACTTACCCCCAGAATTTAGAACAATGGAAGCCCTGGCTGGACCCCAAACTGATTGGATGCCAGATGCTGCCCTCATCCATCAGGCCGCTCTCAGAGCCTCGGGGTCTGCAGCCGGATGTGACGGTTGGTCCGGCAGCGAAGTTTGCCATTTCCCGCTTGTTGCTTGGGATCACTACCGTGATTTGGTTTTGCATTGGTCTCAGTTAAAACAATTCCCACAGGCATGGCTGCAGGTTCGTCAGGTTCATTTAAGAAAGGATGACGGTGGGACTGTAGGGTCTTTGCGGCCTATTGCAGTTGAAAGCATTTTTCTTCGGTTGGTCTCCTCATCTTATGTGAGGACCCCACAGGTTCAGGAATGGATTGCGTCTCGGGTCCCCGAGCAGTGCCATGGAGGCTTGAAATCCCGGGGGGTTGCCACGGCATGGAGGCAACTCAATGAAGCGTTTGAAAGCCAGGAAGTTCTTGCTTCTTTAGATTTCTCCAAATGTTTTGATTTTGTCCACCCAGGTTTGGCCATTGAAAACATGCAACTGCAAGGGTTGCCAGATGAGTGGGCTAACATTTTGATGTTTGTATGGGGTCATCAAGTGCGATGGCTGTGCTTGGGGAAAGCTGTGCACCCAACGCCGGAGCATGTCCAGACCTCCATGCCGCAAGGTGATGCCTTTGCACCTCTGGCTCTTATCATGTTGCTCATTAGGCCCCTTCATGATGTGTCTTCCATTCCAGACTTGCGTCAGGTTGCATACGTTGATGATCGCGCTTTGAGCGCGCCTAATGTTCCACGTTTAATTGCTGGCATCCATAGATGGCGCAGCTGGAGTGACACTTTGGGTCTCCATGAAAACGTTCAAAAAATGCGTTTAGTTGCCTGCACTGCGCAACAAAAGCAAGAGATCAATGACGCAGGGTTTGGTGAGTATCTCCGACCGGCCACTCGGGTCTTAGGTATTGACTTTAAGGAAAGTGACCTTATTGTTTCCCCTGTTCTTGAAAACCGTTTGCAAGAAGCAGTGTTTGCCGCTCACCGTTTGCAGAAATTGCCGGTTGCCCGCGATATCAGGATGTCTTTGTACAGGTCCAGAATCATTTCACTCGCCACCTGGGGCGCTTGGTTTGAACGATTGCCGCAGTCACAGTTGCCTTCGCTTCGAAAGGCATGGCATGCCATTTCCTATCTGCAAGGTAACGCTTCGAGACCTCTTTTCAACCTGCTTGTAGGTCATATGTATCATGCTGAGTTTTGGGCCACCATGTCTTCCATTCGGACCATGCGCCAAGTTCGTGCCCCTTGGCGAAGGGTGCCACGACCTGGAGGCTGGCAGAGTTTCATTTGCGCACGCATGCGAGAGCTGAACTGGGAATTTCGCGGTCCATGGATGTTTGCACATGAGGATTTGGGTCATGTCGATTTATCCAATCCAGATGAAGCTGTTGTGAAACTCACCGAGCACAAGGTGAGAGAAAGTTGGCGCCGAGTGCAATTTGCCCTTTGGAAAAAGCAGAGCCGCCGTGATAGGCATTATTTGCTTGATGTGCCGTATGAGGAAAGTCGTGTTTCCGATGCCCGCAAGTTGTTCTCTCTCACGTGTGATAGTCATCAGAGGGCCGTAATGCTTGGTTCTGCGCATTCCACGGCATGTTATGATAAGATGCGTGGACACGAAGTGAGGGAACAATGTCCCTTTTGCGGTGAGCAAATCCCACCTGTCTGGGAACATCTCTCCTGGCATTGCTCCGCCGAACAGTTGTCTTCCGGCCGCCCTGAGGTCCCTGAAGATGAATTGCAAAATCGTCTTGCTTGGCCCACACGTGGGTGTGATGCCTATGATAGAGCGGTTCTTCACCACATGGCCCGGGTCAGGGCCACTGTGCGTGAAAACATGAATTGATCATGTCCCGTTGGCTGCGGTGTCCGGTACCTTCGGGTATTTGAGGCATCCAGTCGTTCAACCCATAATAATGTCGGCTCCTGCAGGAGCTGGGAAGACTTTCGTAGCTGCACAGTGTGCATTAGATAAGCTCAGAAACAATCCCGATGGACAAGTCTTTTTCCTGGCACCTTCCATTGCCCTTGGCCTGTACTTCGTTCGGTGGCTTGCTCAAAGCTCTTCAAACCGCGGGCAGCTTCACAAGTTGTTGAGGCGCATTGTGTTGATGGAACCCCAAAGCCAAGCTTTTCTGAGCTTGCATATCAAAGGCGACCGTTTTGACTGGATTCCGTTGCCCGACAGCAAAAACGATTTCTCTTAACAATCATCGATGAGGCACACAATTTTTTCTGTATAGATGAGAGCCACACTTTTCTGGAAGAGAAGATTGAGGCACCACGACAAGTGTTGCTCTTGTCGAGTGTATCCCAAAACTCATCTGGTGCAGTGCATTTTCCACCAGCGAAGGAGATCAGCCTGACACAAGTGGTGCGCAGTACGAAAAGGATAGTGGCTGGTGCAGCTGCATTTCAAGCAAGTGTAGCAGAAAAAGAGCAAATTGCTTCCTTATGCCCAGCTGGGCCTCCCCTGAAGGCTTTCCTCTTCGAGTCTGATGCACATGTCTTTGAAGATTATGCCAAACATACGGTATCTGCATTGTTTCATGTGATGCGCATATATGCTGGACTCAGCTTCCACAATCGCTTGGCTCTTTTGGTGCCCAACCCTGACTTTCTGGAGAAGTTCCAAGATGCCTTGCAAAGACACTTCTTGACGGCACGCCTTGCAGGGCGAAACTTCAAGCTGATATCGTTTACTGAGTCGCTACGCATGCTCCCAAACGTCAAAGTGAAGCAGGCCACACATGCAGACAATGCAGAGCTGATAGTGCTGGACACGGTGGAGAATGCAAAGGGACTGGAGTCACTCATGGTGGTGTGCATTGGTCTGGATCAAAAAGTTGGTGACCAAAGTGCAAACCAGGTGGGGCGCTCAAACATATATCAAGCAATCACTCGGGCGCAGCTTCAGGCAGTGATTGTGAACCAGCTCCTCCGAGGAGGTTGGCTGGAATTCTTGGGGGTCACGAAATTCAAAAGTGATACCTTCAATGAATCCACAGCTATGGCCGAGACCACCACTGCTGCTGCTGAAGCCTTGACGAAAGTGCAGCTGCCATCGAAGTTGGCAATTCAGGCCTCGCAGGAAGATTCATCGCGAAGAGAAGATGCCAGGGCGATCCAAAGAGATCCTCTGAAGCCAGATGCTGTGCCACCTTCAAAGCCAATGTTGGAAGAAGGTCAAGACCCCACAACTGCACCTGAGGCGGGTGACAAGCCCGGTGACAAGTTGGTCGTGGAGATCAAGGATTCATCTGTGTGGGACGCCGATGTCATTGACATCAAGGAGCCGATCTCACAGCTGCAGTTTGACCCTCGATCACCCACGGGAAAAGCTGAGGAAGAGGTAGCATCCTTGGAGGTGCGGAAGTATCGTGTCTCACACTGTACACTGTCTTTGAAGTTTTGAGAGGTTTGATATGGGGGCACTTGTTTTTCATGTAGAACATGCTGTTTGCTGCTGTGCCCAAGACCCTCCGTGTGAGTTTCTTGCGATGTTGCCCATCCAAGCGGCAGGCTGAAGAAGTCCGAGGAGGCCGAGAAGCCCAAGAAGCTGCCGATGCAGAGGAAGCTGCAGAATGTCAGGGTCTTGGAGAGATTCTTCAGGATCTTACAGGATCTTGGGGTCTTAGAGGTTGAGATCTTGCAGATCATCGCTTTGAGATGCGAGATATGATTTATAAAAAAATATATAAAATGATAGCGTTGAACAGCAGGCAAATACGGATTGAGTGCAAGTTGGTTGAGATGTATTCAGATGTGAATATAGACTTAGTTGAGATCTTCGGACACTTTTTTGCAACGGTTCCGTGACCCGTTTCTGAGTCTCACAATGCCATGCCTCTAACCAGTTTAGATTTTCAATTTGAGATTATCACGTGGAGATGATGACACGATAGAGCAGATCGAACATGGAAACAATGGAAGCCGCGCAACCTCACTGAGACATCTTCTGTATTTGGAGGTGTGCGTTACCGTTAGTTGTTATGATCCACAATTCCACATCAGAGGGGCTGTGAATATTTTTTTGGATCTAGTTTTGGCAGAGGCATTTGATCCCTTGCAAATGCCATGATGCCACCACACACCAATTACATCCAATTACCATACAACTGATACAATCCATATACATACATTATCTGTACATATCTGTACTATATACAGTCATCACTTTGACACGAAGAAGATGGTAACACTCGCAGCTTGCATACGTAGATGTCATAGATGGAGTACAACCTGACAAGACTAGTTTGAGACGCCAAGTGACCCAGTGCCCTATGAGCAAGAGGAAATGGAAAATTGGATCCAGGGCCTGGCTCCACATGTGACGCTAAGATGCCAAGGGCCTTGGATCATGCGTTTGAGATGGTTTGAGATGATAACATGTTAAAGTTGAACAGCTGGAAGTGACCTCAAAACCATGATGTTTCTATTTTCGATAGTCTTCGTATGTCTTCGTTATATACAATCCAAGCATATCCAAACCATACAATACACATCAATACACATCCATACACTTCATTGTTGACTCAAAAAAAAGACAAAACATTCGACGTGTTCCACGATTTTTTGGGTCTCCGTTGTGGCCTCTGCGGCCCTTCCGGTGCCCTCCGGGGGCGGCCGCGTGCTCCGAGGCGACAACGACATCGTCATGGCGGCCCTCAATGGCCGCCTCGGCGCGGTGCGCCACCTGCTGCGGACGGTGCCCGGATTTCGTGTTTTGGGATGGCGGGGCAAAAAACATGTTGTGCAGCATTGCATGTTCAGAAGCATTTGTGCGTGGATAATGAAGGCAAACATGCTTCATGAAGTGGTGGATCCTCAGCATGAGACCGCCTCCCTAAACAATGAAAACACTTTTAATTCACCGGTGAGTTTTGTGTCTGTTCACTTGACAGCTGAGGTAGACCAGGCAGCTGAGGCAAAGCAGGCAGCAGAGGATGAGAAAGAAGCGGCAGAATGCTGGGCTCTCAGCAGTTGATCCCGGGTCTGCTCCCTGCATGGTCAGTGCTTTCTCGACACATCTCGACACACATTGCACGAATTTACCAAACTAATTCTGAAACGATATCCAATCATATCCCATCATATCCCATCTGACCTCAAAATCAGATGTTTCATATTGTTTCATGATGTTTCTATTTTCTCCTAGTCTTCGTTCTATACAATTTAAGCATATCCAAAGCATACAATACACATAGTTGTTGAGCCAACAAACTTAAAAGGAGTCAGACTGATTGCATGAGGTCATGCTGAGGTCATGTTGAGATCTATGGATTGTCTTAAAACCAAATCATGTACTTGAATTATTTGTGGTTACTTAAACTTAGACTTCATTCTCGCTCAAGTCTTCAAACTTAGATTTCATTCTAGCTTAATTCTTGTAACGAAATTTTGGGTCTCCGTTGTGGCCTCTGCGGCCCTTCCACCGAACCCCCTCCCGGGGCGGCCCGTGGCCCCAAGGCCGCACCGACATCCTCCTGGCGGCCCTCAATGGCCGCCTCGGCGCGGTGCGCCACATCCTGCGGACGCCCGGCGCGGTGGCCTCGAAGGCCGAGGTCGACGCCAGCGTCAGCGGCCTCTCGGCCCTGATGGAGACGGTGCTTTGGGCAGATTTCAGGCTGCTAAGAAAATCGATGTAAAACCCATGGCGGTTTTGATGAGGCACGCTTTAAGGGTTAACGGTTAAAAAAAGGCAGTTTCCAGTTGAAATCATTTACATCAACAACAACACACGGACAGAGTTTGAAAAAAATGCATCAATAGATATCACACGATTAAAACACCAATAATTTCAATCATGAGAAGAATTGAACTTGGCGGTATTTGGGGCTCCTGATGGAGCCTTGGATGTGCAGCTTCTCGGAGACTTGGCACTTCATGGATTTTTCACAATCTTTTCACAATCTTTGGTGTCTTCACTTTGCTTTGCATCAGAAGGACATTTCTGGGAGCAGTCGCTCGCCCGAGGCAGCACCCCGCTGCATTTCGCGGCGATCAAAGGCCAAGTAGAGGTGGTGAAGCTGCTCGTCGAGGCGAAAGCTTCGGTGATTGTGAAAAGCAAGTATGGCCGGGGGCCTCGACTGGGAGATGTGATGGGTTTTTGATGGCTTTTGCTTACTGTACTTATCTTATCATATCATATCATATCATATCAAATTATACTATATACTTATTATATATATTTATATATTACTTTGTGGCGGCTGTTTCGTTTGTTGAACATTCAGACTTCCCATGGTCAGGAGGCCATCAAGGGGTCTTAGGGTCCTCAGGCACTAGGGTTGTTTGGCTGAAGGTGATTGGAGATGCGGAGACACAGTACGCATTTGGACAGGCATTCTACGACATCATTCGACATCCCAAAGACACAGCATTGCTTGAGATAATGGAAGCAGCATTGGACGAGGTCTCAATGGATGGAGACTCACTGAATGTTTGTTGATAGAAATGTATCATGATGTATCATATGATCCATGGTATCTGTGAATATGCACAACGCACATCCAGCCTCCGCATGTGCAATACGTTGCATGAAAATGATGCGTGCATACTACATATACACATATCCTCATTTGTTCGAGATATTTTTCAAGATGCCAGAGCGAAATTATACAACACCGAACTTGCCATCTCGAAGCTGTATGGGCATGTATGGACAACCTGATTCTCTAGATTTTTTTCTCATTGGATTTTTTTGCCCTCCTGGACTGAACTAGCGCAGGAACCGTCCAATCGGTTGATTTTGTGTTGAGGGTATTTTACTTGAAAGCTATATCTCTGGAATACTTTTCTTACGTGCTTATATCCGTGAGAAGCACCATTTCAAATGTGTTATTTGTTTTGGTCTGGGGGTTCGAATTTGAAGGTATCCTTCAACTTCGAATGCCACAAAGGGATGCCGAAGTGATGTGAAACTGAAGTCTTTCCACAAGTTTCAACACAGTCTATGAACTATGAACGCTACCATGAAAGTTAATGGCAAGCTCTGGATTCTGGCGGGGTTCAAGGAGGGCTTGTCTCTGGGAGATAGAACTTCAGCCGAATCAACATTGTTAACATGGGGTGTGAATAGCGTTTGGAGCAACTTGAATAACTGGCGTGAAGAATGACGGCAACAATGTTTTGTTTTAAAGTGACCGAATTCGATACATCAAACGCTCTACAAATCTCTACACGTAAATTCTTCAATATATGGCTTTTGAAATGACATCAAGACCCATGAGTGTGGTGCAATCAACATCAATTGCAGCGCTCAGGCCAGACTCCATTGGACGATGCACGAAAACAGGGCCACGATGAAGTTGTGACGATTCTGGAGAATGCAGAATCTTGGCTGCACAAATGTGTCAACGAGAGCAGGTCGTTCGTTTCGGAGTCCGACTGCTTCCAGCAAGACACAGCTACAGCCGCAGATTTTGATTGTGCCTTTGCTTTCCCTGAGGCATGAAGCTCCAAGATTTTCGCGTGGAGCAACCCAGCTGTTGGTGCGATCTCTGGATTGATGGTGTGGCCTTCATGTTTCACGCGCCCTTGGTCGAATCGGTACGAACATCCAAACATCTGTGCGCGCACAAACAGATTACTGTTTTGCGAGGTGCAGAATTGGAGGAACATGTTTCTCATTTGGGCTCTTTTCTTGCTCAGATATGTTTCGACCACGGAAACGACACTCTATCAGCGAACCTTCTCCAGTTTTCTTCCAACCATTTTGTTTGCTTCAAGTGTCTGGAGTCATCATGCTGCTTCTTGGCACATCCTGGTTCAAGCCTCGGAAGATTGAAATCAAGCCTCGGTCGCCATGTGCAGGTGACAAACTTGCCAGCTTTCTAGCCCATTTGACAGGGACAAATTCACAGGGTTGTCAGTTTCCATCCTGGAATTGCTCAGGTCCCCTCTCATTTGGATTGGTCCATTGGTTTGCCATGTTTTGCCCACCGAACACGAACCTCCCGCTGCTGCATGGCTGCGCGACTGGCTCCAACTTTTCAGGCTGGAAACGCACTTGCCTTGGCCTACACATGCTGAAAGTCTGACAATAGTTGAGCTGGGCAATGAGGTGTTTTATTGTGCCTAAAGGATCCTAAAGGTATGAATATGTCGACTGTTAGAAAACGCAGAACTTGTTTTTATTTGCTACCATTCTGTTTGCCATTCTGAGCAGCCTTTATGACGCTGTCATTTAAAACGGTCTTGAACATCCTGACATGGGTGCCTTCTCATTGAAAAAGCAAAGAATCTGATGATTGCGTTCATTGGATTGTGCATGTTTGAACCATGTTAAACCTTCGCTCAATTCAACCACAAATCCGCGGAACGTCGTTGTGATGATGTGTTGGGTGGAGTCTTGAAGAAATTTTGTAGAGCCTCATTTGGAGCCACCCAAACTCTCGCGGCCTGCAGACACTTGTCGCACACTGGCCATCGGCCTCGACTTGTTGAACCCTTCTCCAAAGTTGAGAACTTGGATATCCGCAAAGAAAACTCTTGAAAGTTATCAGCGTCCCACCTCAATCTTGTTGTCTTCCCCGACCTAAACTATGCGGGCAGTGTCCACGACCTTGCATGATATGGGTAGAAAGAGATGTCTCACAGAGGTGCCGTGTAAGCCAATGGCGGAATCGGTCAAGTGTAAAGAACATAGGCCCAACATCACACATTCTGCGCCAAACTCATACCTAGAAGAACCCTTGGGCACTTTTTTCTGCCCTCGGCGCCTAGGCAGCCGCATAGGCACTTTCACCCGGAAGTTTGCAAAACTCGGCAGATTTATATTGATGTAGGCATTTTTATCTCAAGATGTTTTTTGTGCTCCGACATCATTTTGTGCCTAGGCATTTTTACCCGGAAGTTAGGCGGAAAAACCCGGAATCTAGGCGGAAAAAGCGGAATTTGGCAGAATTTTTGTTCGAAACATTTTTCTGCACTGAACAACGTGACAAGACCATACAAAAATTTATCAGCCTCGGCTTTTTTTGGGCCTAGGCATTTATTCTGGGAATCGGCAGAAATAAACGCCCACCTGCAGGTTAGGCACTTTTTTCTGCCTAGAGGAGTTTGTAGGTATTTGGACGAGTGTTTCTGTGGGCGATCCAAAACTTGCAATTACCCACTTCAGTCCAACCATGAAATCTATTGAAATCTTGTATCATGCAGCAGCCTCGTCCACACTCCCCATGTTTTCTCAGTGCATTTTCAATGAACAAATCAATTCCACGCATTTCATATGAGCTTCGTTGACCTTGCAAAGTTCAGTTAAATTTGAAGGGGTGCACTCTTCTGAGCTTGGTACTACAACTCCGAAACCAGAACCACATCAGCTCCAGATCGCGTGGGCAGCAACATGCCAAACATATCCAAAAGTCTTCAACAACCTGGTAGTGTTAGGCCTCGTTGATTCGTGTTGCAGGCGTGACACTTCATGACCTCGTAAAAGAGACGACCATAAGCTGATGGCCTTGCCGGTGTCAGTCCCTTGGCAAAACTGCGTTCAACGTCTCTTCACAAGTGCTGCTTGCGCACAGGAATTAGCTGGGCCCCATGCCTCCAAGTGCAAACCTTGATCTCCAATCACACTCAAGTGTGAAGATCTCGGACAAAGTGATATCCCAAATACCAGAAGGGTACAGTGCATATTGCAGGTGTTAGTTCTTGTTTTCGGTGTGCCAGGACCCCGAAGAGCTGGTGAGTCATGCAGGCCACGGAGATGTTGATGGTTGGTGGCAGGGGCTGTTTCCGCGGGAGGAGCGTCTTAGAATTTTTGATTAGAATGTATGATCCTGATTGTCGGCTGAAACGGACACTTTTCAGAATTTTCAGACCTTAAGATGTCAAGATGTCTTGACTTTTCAGACCTTAAGAATCCTTAAGATGTCTTGATTTGTCTGCTGGAGTTCTGAAGTATTAGCTGTACCAGTAGGTTCATCAGGGTCAACGGATTGCCTAAGAAGTGGGCGCAGAATTGGAGATGTTGGTTTCTCTTGAAAACGCAAATCTCTTGAAAGCAAAACAAGCAGTCTATGGTGGTCTTTGATTCTGTATTTTGAATCAGAAAGCTAATTTTCTGAAAAGTATTTCCTGGCATAGAGATTTCCTTTTACATTACATAATTTGTGCACTGCCCTGAGACACAGCAGTGCTTGGCCACTCATTCGCTCCAAATGAGATTGTGATCCAACCCTCGCCGTGCTTCGCGCTGAGATTGTTCAGGTTGAAAGACATGAAATTATATTTCTTTCATGTCAATGTAGAAACATTACTCTGTCAAAGTGCGGCCTTTCACGATGGTCCAAGTCTCATGTCTCACAGTCTTTCGATTTCAGGATCTCACCTTTCAGGGCCTCACCTTTTAACTAATTTGAATCCTGCACATATCCAGAGCAAATTGCAGGAATTGCATGCAACCAAGTGATTTTCGGAATCGTGCAACAGTATCGTGGACATGTTTTTACCTCGCCGCAAGAGCGAAAGAGCATGAAATCATGAAGTTCCTGTGGGATCTGTGGGCTTTTCTGTTCTGGCTCGGTGCTGCAGATGTTTGGCTTTCGGAGCTGAGTTGTGTTGCGAGGCACCACACCTCACGACCTTGCAAAGGACGGCGATGACAAGAAGGTCATGGGTTTGCGGGAGCCAGTCCCATGCCAAAACCGTGTTCAATATGTCAGAAGGTTCAGTTGTTCATTATTCACCCCGCTTCGCGTGGGGTGGCCGCCCACACCGCAGGTTTATTTCGGTCCGTGAGAGGGGCTAAGGGTGGTTTTCCCCCGTGGGGGCTCCCCAAGCTAAGAATTTTCACTTTCCTCCCCCGTGGGGGCTCCCCAAGCTAGGGAATTTTCACTTTTCCACCCCGTGGGGGCTCCCCAAGCTAGGGAATTTTCACTTTTCCCCCCCGTGGGGGCTTCCCAAGCTAGGGAATTTTCACTTTTCCCCCCCGTGGGGGCTCCCCAAGCTAGGGAATTTTCACTTTTCCCCCCGTGGGGGCTTCCCAAGCTAGGGAATTTTCACTTTTCCCCCCCGTGGGGGCTTCCCAAGCTAGGGAATTTTCACTTTTCCCCGCCGTGACAGCTTCCCAAGCTATGGAATTTTCACTTTTCCCTCCCTTGGATGCTCTCCAAGCTGCGGAATTTCAAATAGCTAGACAACGACGCCTAGATAGTCCCCCAAATCCCGTGTTCTTTGAATGTGTTTCCATGTTTTTGCAATGGTTTCCTTCAAAGCACGGTACTTTACACTTTTGTCGCCATAAACCCGGTCGAAAACATCATGTTCGACAATGCTTCCAATTCCCTTATCTCCCCAACCGTTGAAAATACCGCTATTTACAGTGTTTTCTTCAATTTTTCCATGTTCCAATGCCGGTAGCTAACTCCAACATATATATAAGAAATCCTTCCAAAACATTGTTTTTGACAGTGTTTTTCCAATGTTTCCAGTCAAACAGACGGCAATTTACACGTTTTTTGCCATAAAGGCAGTAAATCCTTCCAAAACATTGCTTTTGACAGTGTTTTTGTAATGCTTCCAGTCAAGCATACGGTAATTTACACGTTTTTTGCTATAACGTCAGTCCAAAACACTTGTTTTTGCAGTGTTTTCAATGCTCTGGCATCCAAAAACCCTGCAAAATCTTGCTATGTACAATGTTTTTTTCATTTTTGGCCGTTTTTCCATTGCCGGAAAGCTACCAAAATGACCCAAATTCCATTTCAATACCCTCTTGCACTCAGACACCCAAAAATCCTCGAAAAATGTCGAAAACACCACCGTATTCTGGTCTCGGTGCGAAACCGTTTTTGGGGTCTGGTCTCGGTGCGAAACCGTTTTTGGCCCCCCCCCCCAGCTAAAGCTGATATAGCGACTGCTATATTAACAAATGTCATTGAGCATTTAGTGTTGCTGTTGCCCCCCAATAAGCACGCCTTCACCGCCAAAGCGGTGTGGGCGGATTTTTGTGCCTGTAGTACTGTAGTGCTGAAATTGTGCTGACACAGGCATACTTGGGAACTGGCTGGTTGGACCGTGTGTTTGCGAGTGCAAATTCTCGTGGTCTGCCATCAAATTCAATCTGAACGCATCTAAACCGCTTCAAATTCAGCAGAATCTAGCAAGCGGCCAGGTTTTCGTGGCTCTGCTGAGCGGCAAAGACTGTGAGTGTGACTCGGCTGCCCCATGGATACACCTCCCTTTGTCCATGCAAGGTGTAAGATGGTGTAAGCGAGTGTAAGCATGTAGAATCTCTGCTGTTGACATGCAAAGAAGTGGCTACTGTCGATTTTCAAGAGTTAAGTACACTTGCAAATTCATGAATCGATGTTGTTCTCCGAATTAAATGGCATCAGATGTGATAACCCGGTTGGTGCCCTACACGGCTGCATCGGTGGATTGTGTTGATACCTCCACTCTCTTTTGCTTTTTCGGAATCTCAGGCCTGTGGTTGCAAGACCGGACTATCCGACAGCTGAAAGAAGAAGCTCAGCACCTTAGCAAGTTAGGCGTGCAGCATATCATGTGGGGTTTGGATGGTTTGGTCCTGGCTTGTCTTTGGCGACTTTGTATTCTCTCCGACACTGTTTTGGTGTTTTCTGTCTTGATGTTACTTCTGCTACGTAGGTGTCTCTTACTGGTTGTGCTACGTGCAATAGTTGTCAAACAGGAGCCGAGGAAGAACATGCCCAAGGCATTTGCATGGCCTTCAATGCTCGGTTGTACTTCCTATTTAGAGTGGTATAATGTGGTATACGGTATACTTGTTTTATCGAAGTTTCAATTATTTTCAAAGAGGCCAGGGAATATCAACTTAGACGCAGAATGAAGCAGGCGCAGTCAGTTTCTGGCGCTGCTCACACACTTCCGTTACGAAATGAGAGAAGAGCAGGGGATCGGTTGCAACCTGCAGTGCCCCACAGTTGAGTTGGACACCCGAGGCAAAAGCTGGATATTGCCATCAAGCACTTGATTGGTCCCGACATGGAGCCGTTGCTGCTTGGGCTGCAAAGAACTCTTCCAAACTTTCGCCTGTTTCATTGATGTTGCACCTGCTTAAGTTTGCAGTAGGATGCAATCGGACATGCAACCAGACCTAAAGCACGACGTTGTGGCAGCAGCGAAACTCATACTGGGTCCATGGGCCTTTCTGTAACATCCGTAATGTCTTTGAGATATCTGGCAAATTCTGCCATTTAGAAAAAAGAAAAAGGAGTTTTTTCTCAATGACTTTGTGTAGGTTCGTCAAATTGTTGGACGGTGAATGGCAAATGTCGGTGCAGCGATGAAGTCTGGGAAAGTCCGATTAAGTCCAGGAAAATACAGGTGTGGAAAGGCTCATTCGGCGAAGGACTAAGAATGACAGCGTCCTCTGGAGAATGACTCAGATTAGAACGTGTTACGTAGAACAATTTGACAGTGGATTTGAATGAGATACTGTATTCCGATATTCCCAGGTATTGCAACTTGAAAATAGTATCAAATAGTACATGTGCATGTAATTTATGATTCGGATGTTCATACCAGTGCAACAGCAAACAAAATGAAGGTCTCTTGAATCAAGATCACAAATTCTGGAACAAGAGCTTGGCTCGTCCAAGAGTACCTTTCCGTATTTGCCAAGGGATGAAGAGAAGATGCTGGCAGAAGAAAACGTCATGCCTGGCACAACGCTGACGGTCGTTGCAGCGGCCTGGCATGTGACAGGAGCAATGTGACAGTAGTTCACCTGTCAGTGGTTGGGGGCCTTCAAATTCAAACAAGATTAAGCTCTTTCGCAGAAAGAGAAGAACAAGTTGCAAGAAGAACAAGTCAAGAACGAGTCAACCCATTCTGACATTGCAATAATTCCATCATAAGCATCCCCAGCTCAAGCAATACAACCAACGCATTGTAGTGCATGCCCATGATGTGTTCAAATGCTTCAACATGCACCATACTGATTTCGTGTTTTGGGATGGCGGGGCAAAAAGCATGCTGTGCAGCATTGCATGTTCAGAAGCATTTGTCGAGACCCGACCTGGAGGACCATTTGTGCCTATGTCTATGTCTGTCACATTGCACGTGGATAATGAAGGCAAACATGCTTCATGAAGTGGTGGATCCTCAGCATGAGACCGCCTCCCTAAACAAGTTTCCAGAAAGTCAATGAAAACACTTGTAATTCACCGGTGAGTTTTGTGTTTGTTCACTTGGCAGCTGAGGTAAACCAGGCAGCAGAGGATGAGAAAGAAGCGGCAGAATGCTGGGCTCTCAGCAGTTGATCCCGGGTCTGCTCCCCGCATGGTCAGCACTTTCTCGACACATCTCGACACACATTGCACGAATTTACCAAACTAATTCTGAAACGATATCCCATCATATCCCATCATACCCCATCATATGAATCATATCCCATCATATCCCACCATATCCCACCATATCCCATCATATCCCATCATATCCCATCATATCCCATCCTATTCCGTCTGACCTCAAAATCAGATGTTTCATATTGTTTCTATTTTCTCCCAGTCTTCGCTCTATACAATTCAAGCATATCCAAACCATATACAATACACATAGTTGTTGAGCCAACAAATTCAGAGGAGTCAGACTGATTGCATGAGGTTATTGTGATTACTTACAGTAAATTCTAGCTCAAGCTGACGGCGGGGGCCGAGGTCGACGCCAGGAACGACGACGGCCTCTCGGCCCTGAAGAGATGGATACACGGTGCTTGGGGGAGATTTCAAGGTGCCAAAAAAAATCGGATTCAAAATGTGAAAATGATGTGAAATGATGTGAAATGCAAACGGTAGGGTGGGTTTGGTGGGTTTGGTAGGTTTTATAGGGCTTTAAAAAAAGCAGTTTCCAGTTGAAATAATTTGGATCAACAACCACATCACATGGTCAGGATTTGTAAAAACAACAGATATCGCTCAATTCAGACAACCACAACCTGAATTTTTGAAAGTAGTGAAAGGATTTGAATTGCGGACATTTTCAGCTTTTGATGGAGCCTTGGATGTGCGCCTTCTAGGAGACTTGGGACGTTCATAGATTGTTCCATTTTTCACATGCTTCGTTGTTTTCGCTTTGCTTTGCATCAGAAGGACATTTCTGGGGGCAGTCGCTCGCCCGAGGTGAAACCCCGTTGCACTGGGCGGCGCGCAACGGCCAAGTGGAGACGGTGAAGCTGCTCCTCGAGGCAAAGGCCTCGGTGACTGTGAAAGACAACAGAGGCCGGGGGCCTCGACTGGGAGATGTGATGGGCTTTTGATGTTTTTTGCTTTCTTATTTTATCATATTATAACATAGACCCGGGCAAGCCGGCGGCGGAAGTTTCCCAAACATAAATGACCTATAGTTCGACGCCAGCCTGTCCCGACCGTGTCCTTCCCTCGACAATTTTTTTTTCAGCGAGAGACGAAGCAAAGTCTTCACACTCCACACTTCGCACTCCACACTTCACACTGCACTCTTCGCACTCGAAACTTCACACTTCACACTCCACACTTCGCACTCCACACTTCACACTTCTCACTTCTCGCTGCTGCCTTCACACTCCAAACCTCACACTTCACACTTCACACTGCGCTCTTCGCACTCCAAACTTAGACTTCACACTCCACACTTCACACTCCACACTTCACACTTCACAGTTCACACTTCTCACTTCCCACTGCTTTCTTCTCACTTCGCACTTCACACTCCACACTTCACAGTCCACATTTCACAGTCCACACTTCACACTCCACACTTCTTACTTCTCACTGCTTCCTTCACACTCCAAACTTCACACTTCTCACTTCGCACTTCACACTTCACAGTCCACACTTCACACTTCACACTTCTCACTGCTTCCTTCACACTCCAAACTTCACACTTCTTACTTCGCACTTCACACTTCACAGTCCACACTTCACACTTCTCACTGCTTCCTTCACACTCCAAACTTCACACTTCTCACTTCGCACTTCACACTCCACACTTCACAGTCCACACTTCACACTTCTCACTTCTCACTGCTGCCTTCACGCTCCAAACCTCACACTTCACATTTCACACTCACTCTTCGCACTCCAAACTTAAACTTCACACTCCACACTTCACACTTCTCACTTCCCACTGCTTCCTTCACACTGTACACTTCACACTGCACTCTTCACACTCCACACTTCACACTGCACTCTTTGCACTCCAAACTTCACACTCCACACTTCACAGTCCACACTTCACACTTCTCACTTCTCACTGCTCCCTTCACACTCCAAACTTCACACTTCACACTTCACACTGCACTCTTCACGCCCCACATTTCACACTACACTCTTCACACTCCACAGTTCATCTCATCTGAGCTCTTCTCACCTTATCCCAGCTCATCTCTTCTCATCTCGTCCCTTCTCATATGTCATCTATTAAGCTTTCATTAATCAATTCCCAGCACTACTACTAATCACTGTCGAACCCTTGATGCACCCACTCCAATACGATTTACGAAGTCCAGCTGCAAAAGACAATAGTATTGCGCATGCAGCCGCGGCACCAAGCAACCTTGACGCAACCATCACAATGCGATCTGCAGAGACTGAGTTGCGAAACACAATAGAAATTCGCGCAACTGGGTCGGAAATTGCAGCTCCAAAACCGGATCTCGACGCCAAAGCGAAAAAAAAGACGATTTTGAAGCACTTTTTAAAAGGATTTTTAAAAAGAAAATCAATGGCGCCAAAATGGAGAAAATCTGCTGACAAATCATTGTCGCAGCCTTCATGCAGCCACTCCAATACGATTTACGAAGTCCAGCTGCAAAAGACAATAGTATTACGCATGCAGCCGTGGCAAGAAGCAACCTTGACGCAGCCATTACTATGCGATCTGCAGAGACAGAGTTGCAAAACACAATAGAACTACGCGCAACTGGGTCGGAAATTGCAGCTCCAAAACCGGATCTCGACGCCAGAGCGAAAAAAAGACGATTTTGAAGCATTTTTGAAAAGGATTTTTAAAAAGAAAATCACTGGCGCCAAAATGGACAAAAACTGTTGACAAATCATTGTCGCAGCCTTCATGCAGCCACTCCACTACGATTTACGAAGTCCAGCTGCAAAAGACAATAGTATTACGCATGCAGCCAAAAGAGGAAGCAACACTTGCAATCCCATTTACAGTGAGGGAACGATCCTAGAGTTGCAAATCACAATGGAATTCCATCAGCAACTCATCTACCAGCACCACTTGCAACCCCATTTACAATGCGGGAACGATCCTACAGTTGCAAATCACAATGGAATTCTGTCGACCACACATGCACGAAAAACGGTTGAAACCCCATTTACAATGCGGAACCGATCCGAGCATGATCCGAGACCGATCCGAACATGATCCGAACATGATCCGACCACACACGAGACCGTCTCGCACCCGTCGCACAGCAGAGGTAGATCATCGACGTTCGTGGACACACTTTGTATGCAAAAACATAGGGTTTCGTGCATCTGCTATCTCTCAAAAACGCATTTCGTGCGAGACTTCCTTCAAAACTCCATCGGCAACTCATCCACCAGCACCACTTGCAATCCCATTTACAGTGAGGGAACGATCCTAGAGTTGCAAATCACAATGGAATTCCATCGGCAACTCATCCACCAGCACCACTTGCACCCCCATTTACAATGCGGGAACGATCCTACAGTTGCAAATCACAATGGAATTCTGTCGACCACACATGCACGAAAAACACTTGAAACCCCATTTACAATGCGGAACCGATCCGACCATGATCCGAGCATATCCGACCATGATCCGACCACACACGAGACCGTCTCGCACCCGTCGCACCGCAGAGGTAGATCATCGACGTTCGTGGACGCACTTTGTATGGAAAAACATAGGCTTTCGTGCATTTGCTATCTCTCAAAAACGCATTTCGTGCGAGACTTCCTCCAAAACTCCATCGGCAACTCCTCCACCAGCACCACTTGCAATGCCATTTACAGTGAGGGAACGATCCTAGAGTTGCAAATCACAATGGAATTCTATCGGCAACTCATCCACCAGCACCACTTGCAATCCCATTTACATTGCGGGAACGATCCTACAGTTGCAAATCACAATGAAATTCTGTCGACCGCACATGGACGAAACACAGTTGAAACCCCATTTACAATGCGGAACCGATCCGAGACCGATCCGACCATGATCCGAGACCGTTCCGACCACACACGAGACCGTCTCGCACCCGTCGCACCGCAGAGGTAGATCATCGAGGTTCGGGGACGGACTTTGTATGGAAAAACATAGGGTTTCGTGCATCTGCTATCTCTCAAAAACGCATTTCGTGCGAGACTTTCTCCAAAACTCCATCGGCAACTCCTCCACCAGCACCACTTGCAATGCCATTTACAGTGAGGGAACGATCCTAGAGTTTTAACTCTTTCTTTGACTAACTCTTTCCCTCACTAACTCTTTTTTTGACTAACTTGTTTCTTTGCTAACTCTTGCTTTGACTACCTCATATATCCTGACTAACTCTTTCTTTGACTAACTCTTTCCCTCACTAACTCTTTCTTTGACTAACTCTTTCCCTGACTAACTGTTTCTTTGACTAACTCTTTCTTTGACTAACTCTTTCCCTCACTAACTCTTTCTTTGACTAACTTTTTCTTTGACTAACTCTTTCTTTGACTAACTCTTTCCCTCACTAACTCTTTCTTTGACTAACTCTTTCCCTGACTAACTGTTTCTTTGACTAACTCTTTCTTTGACTAACTCTTTCCCTGACTAACTGTTTCTTTGACTAACTCTTTGTTTGACTAACTCTTTCTTTCACTAACTCTTTCCCTCACTAACTCTTTCTTTGACTAACTCTTTCCCTCACTAACTCTTTCTTTGACTAACTCTTTCCCTGACTAACTGTTTCTGTGACTAACTCTTTCTTTCACTAACTCTTTCTTTGACTAACTCTTTCCCTGACTAACTCTTTCTTTGACTAACGCTTTCTTTGACTAACTCTTTCCCTGACTAACTGTTTCTTTGACTAACTCTTTCTTTGACTAACGGTTTCTTTGCTAACTCTTTCCCTCACTAACTCTTTCTTTGACTAACTCTTTCCCTGACTAACTCTTTCTTTGACTAACTCTTTCCCTGACTAACTGTTTCTTTGCTAACTCTTTCTTTGACTAACTCTTTCCCTGACATTCTAAAAGTCCGTAACACGGAAGTTTCTCCCCCTAAACTTCCTTTGATTACTACTTATTACTTTACTTATTACTTTGTGGCGGCTGTTTTGTTTGTTGACCGTTGAGACTTCCTGTGGTCAGTAGTCAGTCAGTCAAGGTGTCTTAGGGTCCTCAGGCACTAGGGTTGTTTAGCTGAAGGTGATTGGAGATGCGGAGACACAGTACGCATTTAGACAGGCATTCTCGACATCATTCGACATCCCAAAGACACAGCATTGCTTGAGACAATGGAAGCAGCATGAGAAGACACCTCCAATGCAAATGGGTGTAGACCCAATGAATGTTTGTTGATAGAGTTGCGTCATGATTGATAACTTAATATGCACAAATCACCTCCAGCCTCCACATGTGACATATGTTGCATGAAAATGATTAGCATACATCATACATTGCCATACATCCTGTCTTGATATCATAGTGTGTGTGATATCTATCAAGACGTCTCGCCAGAGCCAAAATCTACAAAACTGAACGAACAATCTCTCTGCTGATTGGAAATGTATGGACAACCTGATATTGAGCTGTTTTTTTCATTGCAATTCCTGGTCCTAGCACTTCCGGACTGAAATAGCACAGGAACCGTCCGTTGATATTGTGTTGAGGCCTGCATTTCACTTGAAAACAGCATCTTGGGAATACTTTGATTACGTGCTCTGATTACAGAGAAGCGACAATTGGTATGGCGATTGATTTGGCACTTTGACATTGAGGTTCTCTTCATTTCCGTTTGAACTGTGTCATGTGTTTGCGTTTGGGTTATAATTTAAAGGTCTCCTTCAACTTTGGATGCAAGAAGGTGAAACTGCACACTAGAACACTACTTCTTTCAATTTTCAAAACAGTCTACAAGAGTCACCATGAAAGTTAATGGCAACCTCTGGACTCTGGGCCCTTGTCTCGTGGGAGATGGAACTTCAGCCCAACCAACATGGGGCGTGAATAGCCTTTGGAGCAACTTGTATTGGTGTGAAGAATGAAAACAACTATGTGTTGTATCTCATGAACTTGATACATGGAAATATTTATACTAGTATCATATAGATGCACTTTCTTCAATATGGCTCTTGAAATTCCAGCGAGACACATGAGTGTGATGCCGGAAGCAGCGTCACATAGGTCTTGGTCCCAGCACTCAGGCAACACTCCGTTGGACGATGCAAGAAGCCGGGGCCACGACGAGATTGTAACACTGTTGGAGCGCGCAGAATCTTGGCTGCACGGAGGTGTCAATGGGAGCAGTTCAGTTGGTGCAGCCCTGTCCGTCACTAATGATGTCAATGGGGCCTTGTGCCACTGGAGGCCTGGCGCAATGAAAATTGCTACTGAACGGCTCCGCAACTGTGTGATCTTCTGGATTGATTGTTATATTATGATGTTGATGTTGGGCCTGTTGGGCCTTCCATGTTTCACACTCGCAGAAGCGCTACGAAAAGCAACAAATATTTGCGTGAAGAGTTGCTTTGTGGTCTTCTCTGGGCTGCTCAGATACGTTTCGACACTAGGCACTACAAACCTTTAAACCTTCAGCCATTTTGTTTGCCTCAAGGGTCTGGAGTCACATGTCTTGCGAGGTTGAAATCAAGTATGATTTCACAAATTGTTGTCACCACATGCCATTGGAGCATGTTGCGATACCATGCGAAACCATGTTGCAGCCACAGACTCACACATGTCTTTCACTCCCAGTCAAACTTTGTCAAACTTAGCTGCAGTCCCATTCCAAGTGAACCATGGGTTTTGACGTCGGGGGCTGAGTCTGGGAAATCTTTGCACCCAGCTGCATGGCTGCGTGAATGGCTTCAACCTTTTTCAGGCTGGCAGCGGGCTTGCCAAAGAGCATGGACCTTGAAAGAGCGAAATTGACATCCTGCCAAAAACCAAGCAGAATCCATCAGGTCCTGGAGACGCTCAGCACACCTTGTTTTCTCCCATGCCTTCATATCGCTGGTCATTTGTTGCGGCCGCTCGAATCAGACAGCGACTGCCGTCGGGGCTGTTGGGGTTGACTCGTAGAAAATTGGGTGCAATGACCAGCAGAGCTGAAAAGCTAACGTGACACATTTCCAGATGCAGACATATCAGAACTGACAATATTTTTGGATTGCGAAACCTTGGTCGGAGTACCAACCTGACAACATGTGCCAACCTGGCAACGAGCTGCGAGGCCGCTGTGGCGCCTTTCTGGTTGGAGGCTTCCCAGGTGAGATCTTGGTGGGCTCTGTTGAGAGATTGCAATGAAACAGATCATCCTCTTGACCAATGAAATCCAATGAAATCCCATCTATTTGGCCAGGTATCTACGGTCCAATTGCAAATTTCGGGAATCGAATTGGATATCTTCTTTGCACCCTAGCTTGTTCCAACTTGTTTGAACCACGTCCAATTTTCACAGATTCTGTCACCATCAGTTACCATAGGCAAAGTCAACGTTGCAGGCTTGAAACATCTTGCAGCTCTGTCGCATGTTGGGTTGAAGACCCCCACATTTTCATACATTTTCTGTCTATCCAGTCCAAAGGTGTTGATTATTTTTCCGAATTTTGTTGGTCTGTACTTTGCGATGTCCTGAATCAGCTGCAGGCGAGACCAGGCGAGTTTTTTCTTGCCACCTGTGTCGCCGTATGTCGCTGTTTATGCTTGGAAGTTTCGATCAGGGTCGATATCGCCAACTTTAGGCCGTGAATTAAGCTTGAATTTGATGCAGTGGTTGCAGTTGGATGTAGACTTGCAATGAATTGTTTGGAATGATATATATACATATATATATTATATCTATAACGCTGACTGATATACAACATTTGGAGTCCTTGCTTGGCCAGACTGTCGTGGCCCTGAACAGCGGAAGAAGCTGCCGATGCGCCTTGGCTTCCATTTTTTGAAGATGCCACGCTGATATAACTGCAGCCACCATGTCCAAGCACGTCTGCAAACATGTCGAATCCGCAGTGAGATGCGTTTTGAGTTGCCATTTGGGTTACAGATGTTACAGCCACAAACGCATCCATCAATGTTATTTTGCCCCCCCAAAAATCACCCCCCAGAAACAGTCAACCCGGGTTGTTTGCAAAACTTTGCAAAGCGATGTTTCCTATATGACAAAATTGGGATTGGTAATCTGGGGTTGACACTTTCGTCATTCACTCCCAACTAATCATATGCATGGTATAAATTCCCCGTTTGTTTTTGCAGAATGGAATGGTATGGCACATCAATCTTGAATGCAGTATGAAGGATTTGGGAACAACAACAAAGGTTGACTGCGCTCCACACTGTGGATGCAATTACTTTCTTTACCCTTGGATTCAGAGCTTTGAATTTGGTCATTCTGCAGTCCAAGTCGGTGTGACAAATTGAAGGCACCCGTGCCCACACGTTTACGTCCATTGAGTCACTGTGTGATAGGAGCATCGCCAGGGGCATTGGGGCAGTAAAATCCTGCTTAGGTGAAACTATTGTGGATGATGCAAGAAGCTGAGTTCCGATCCGAAACTGCATTGGGAGAACTATAAACCACATATATGTTCGATACTTTTTCTGATGGTTTGATGGGTGTTTTATGGTGGTTCGCAGTAGCTTCTAGATCGCATTGGCAGTGTTTGGAAAGAGACATGAATGATATGAGCAAAGAAACTATTTAATTTCTGCAAGACGGGTTGGCGACAGATTTGGAACATCATGGAACAACAGGGGATCGTCACTGGGATTTTCCATTGATTTTTTGGGGAGATTTCCGTCATGGACTTTGTACAGTTCGCCATGATGCCCCTGGTCAGAAGGTGTTTTGGGGTTCAAGCAGAGCCTGACCGGAAAGGATTCATAGAGCAGGTGCAGCCCCTCATTTTGCTCCCGATGCCATGGTTTTCAAAACAAATTTAGTCAGAACATGCCACGAGACGTCCAATATCCAGAAACATGAAATAGAACTAAACTTGGCACCTTGCACAAGGAAAAGACCGTCCTATTCGTTTGTCATTTTGGAGTTCAGGATGTTGGGGTCTAATAGGATCCCAGAAGATGCCCTTGGTACGTTGCTTGGCCCGCGACAGGTGTGCCGGCGACCATGCCTTTGGACTTGCAGGACTTTGCGGAACAGGCAGGCCCGAAGTTTTGGTTTTGGGGTTGGTTGCACCTGCTAGTCACAACATGTCACAACGAGTCCATGCCTCTTTCAAGCTTGGCAACCCTTGGCATTGAGGAAATCTTAGATGTCGACTAATTGGACACTGGCTGTCAATGGTTACCCAGGGATTACTCGTCCACTGCCACTAGTATCACTAGTCGCTTTTGTTTCAAGCTACCCATCTGACGAAACATTCAACAGGCTTACATTTGGTTTCACAGGATCGTGGTGATTGGATCCAGAATTCAAATCAGTCCGGTGCTTTTTACATTTTTACACAGATGTGCAGGGAAACTCCATACGGTGCATGCCTATAGTTCTGTCACGTTCTGTCATATTCACGTTCTGTCATATTCTGTGCCCAAAGTATCCAAACGTACACAGCTGTGTGAAGCCTCTGGATTTGCTCCTTTTTGGTTCCATGAAAAGGGGGTGAAGGCCACAAAAAGAGTGAAACAAACATGGGCAAATTATGCAAAACAATCGGAGCATGGACCCCTTGGAGCTTTTATTCAAAGCTTCCTGGTTAATCAGTGCCTGGAAGAAGAATCCCTTCAAGTTCGTCTTGCAGTTGTTGCAGTGGCCTATCAAACAGCTACAGCAGCGGTTTCGCTGTACATCGTGTAGTCGTGTAGTTTGCTCGATTTGGGAATCAGTAGGATGCCATGAGTTTTGACACTCACAATTGACAACTCGATGTTTGGGCCAGCATGAAGTTGGGTGGATGCATCGTTGTTTCAGCGGGCAACAGCATCAGGGATACAACAGCTTGAGGGAATGTCCAATGGTTGAGATATGTCTTCACTCTTAGTCATACTTTTTGTACCTTTTTGTGTGGTAATTATCTGTGTTCGAAAGTGCTGCCCTTCAGCTACGGACCCGAGAGCTATCCAGCACATTCATGGATCTTTGGGGTGACACCATGTTTGTCATAGACGTCTCACCGATTTCAATACTCTGGATTTTACACAACAACAATATCTGAGACATTGTTGAAACCCATCACTGAAATCTATGAAGGAACTTTTGCTGGGGATATTCAACCTGGTTCGAGGGAGCAGCCCATGCTTCATGACATACTCCAGAGGCCTGAAGAACGAAGAAGAATTCAAAGAGAAGGCCCTCAGGACTTGGTGCGAAACTCACGTGGCGTTGAAACACCGTAGGAAAACATCGATGAACATCGTAGGGTCCAAACCTGCGAAACGGATGCAGCTCGCACTTTGGAAATTCTGTGGGGGAAGATATTTGCACCGCAGCCTGCTCAGGTGCCGCGGGATACAGCTCTGAAGATGGGGCAGAAGGCTCGTCCAGCAGGAGGCTTCTGCTACTCATAGAATCAATGGATAGGGGGAAGCGGTGGTCATCATTCTGGCGCAGAATGAGACTTGCAGCATTAAATCATTTTGGGTGTCCAGACTTTTGATACGTGTGATGCTCATTGATGTTCATTGATGGCCGTGGCAAGCCAGGGAACACTGAGCTGGTGGTGTGTGGCCAACAAAAGCGATGTGTGAAACGTGACTTTGGTCTCCGACGTAGAGATCATGTACAGCTGCTTTGTGCTTGAGTTCAGCTGGCAAGCACGTGCTGGAAAAGTTTGACCCTGTCAGGTCTTGTAGTGTTTTGGTCTCTCCGTCCTCAAGTGCAAGCTGTGAGATCAAGTTTGAGCAGGTAGGGGTCAACTTCCCTTGGAATGTTGCTTGACATGGCGCAGTTTGCAGCTTCAACACAGCAAAACATGTGCAGGAAACCAGTAGGTCTCAAGGATTTTAGACATTCTTGAGTTGTGAACGCATGGCAACTTGGCTACACTAAGTGGCATTGGTTAAATCAGAGCCTGAGATTACATACAAAGATTTCAAAGTCCTTGGAACGGTGCCTTTGCAAAGTCATTGGCATTTTCTTTTCCTTCTGCTGCCGCCACTTCCTGAATTCATTGCAACCCTGTCCGTGCTTGGCCTCAGCTTTGGATGCGGTAGCATTCTGTTGGCGTTTCATTTTGCTGAGTCGAGTTTCACCCTGAACATTTTGGTTGTGGTCTTTGCACCTCACATCCAGGTTCCGCAAAGGCCTTTGAGCCTTTGGGCCTTTGGGCCTTTGGGCCTTTGGGCTTTCAACCTCAGTTCGACAGGACTCCGGGAGGGCACCGGAGGAAGCTCAAAGTCGGAGGAAGATGAAGGCACTGGAGTTTCTCGTTTCAGTTGACTGCCTCCCAGGCTCACCATGGGCAGCGGTGGCTCGGTTCAGGCATTCCAGCTGACAGCCGAGGAGGCCGTGGACAAGAAATGCGCTGTAAAGAGCACACCCGGAGCAATGACAACAAGGCTACACAAAAAAAATGTCCCGAAATGCCCAACCTCATAACCCCCTGGCACATGCTGAGGCGGTTGTTTGGGTTTTCTTCCCAAAAAATGCGGTTGACCGGCTTTGGTCCTTGAGCTTCAAAGACAAATCTATGGAACTCACCATGCCGATGCCTGAGAGGCCGCAGATGTCGATGCCTTTGTGGCTGGCGGCCTCGCCCAGGTGAGATTTCGAGACGGCCGGGGAAAGTTTGGGATCGATTTCAAATGGTTTATCCATGATATCACCACTGAAATGAAGATTCACGAACATCTCACACCTAATAGCAGCCATAGCAACTATTGTATTTCACCGTCAGTTTGGAGAGAAATGTTTTTTCCCCAGTATCCAGCAAAGGTCGTCCAAACTCGTTTGAACGACCGACAATCAGAAAAAAATTATGCATTCGCACACAGTCAAAGCCAGCCCTGCAAGCTTGTAACTTTGGACGGGCTGTTTTTTTTCTACAATAGTGTATGGAAGATACAGTTATATTTTGACATATTTTGACTTGTCTTCCAGCGCAACTTGATGCCGAACGGACATTTCCTTTCGATCCAAGGCGGAAATTGTGCCAGAGGTTTAAGGGGTGTTTTGAGTGTGCCTTGCAAGGTCCCGAGTCTTAGGAGAAGAGTGGAGGAGCTGCAGGCGCGGTTTTTTGCTACCCGTGCGAAGCAGATTTAGATGCGAGTAGCCGACACTATCTAGCAGCGAGCCTGCACAGTTTTTCTTCCAATGATACGAGTTTGTCTGCAAACATGGACACGTATTGCAATTTCGATTTCATTTGGAGTGCATTTGATATGATTTGACCGTCACAGCAGCGGCATCTCCAAAACTCCCATGTTTTGAGTTGTGCTTGGTCCAGTCTGGAAGGCCGGAGCTCAAGAGGCAGAGAGACTCCTGGACGAGGCACAAGCGCAACTCCCAGAGGCGCCCATTCTGCGAGTGCAATGCAGAGAGGTGAGATGACAAACAAACTTAACAGGACCCCCGTAAACAGATATGATTTAACTTCCAGGATGTTGATGATTTGTACCTCATTGTTCCCAATCTGTTTTAGGAATCCTATATCCACAAACGTCAGCACAAAACTCCGAGAAATGATAATTTGGCTCTTGGGATCCGTTTTTCTTTCCCTGAGTTGTGAATGTTTGACAAATCCATACAAATCCTGTTGATGCATGTTGCTAAATTATTGAATGTGCACAATGCATCTTTTTTGTCGGGTGAGAAAGATGCATTTCTGAGTCGGAAATGGGGCATCAAATCCATCAATTTCAGTTGTGCCAACCGCTTCACCATGCCCTTCACCATGCTCCATGATTTTTCCAGGCCGCAGTGGAGACCGCCCTTGCACAGGCAAGATTCCGCAAGCATTTATCCAATTTATCCTGTGATGATGTAGTTGGCCAAGTTGGCTAAGTTGGCTAAGCGATTAAATATGGTAAAATCCTGTTGATCAAGGAGCTCACCATGTGGCCTTCTGTGTCGGAACAGTCCAATTTAAGGCTTGATATCAACCTTTCCCAGATGTTTCCAGTACACATTTGAAGAAATGCTGCCACACAAAAACAAAGTCAGTTCTGCAAGCTTGAACTGCGGGCTTGCTGAGTTTGATGTAGCAGGACGTGTCATTCTTTTCTTCTAGCATGCAACTTCTTGTGGAACCCAGTTTGCTCTGGATTCAAGGTGCAACTTGCATCAGAAGTCTTGGGTTGCTGGCAGAAGCTGCATTTTGTACAATGGCAAGGTCGCAGGGAGAAGAGTGGAGGAGCTGCAGGCAATTTTTTTTGGCTACCTGTGCGAAGCAGGTTTCAACGCAGCTAAACCGCAATGAACCAGCAAGTTTTTTCTTGCACTTCAAACCTTAACACTGCCTGATTCCAAATACTGTAGCGCTAGTTGTTTGAAACCCATAGCAGAGTCTCACCAAGTAACAAGTGGGGAAACCCATTTCTGTGTCATTTCATGTTTGCAAACATTGACAGCGGTGGTTGAAGATGGGAGGGTTGGTCGCAGCATGTCGCAGCATTGACATTTGCAAAGATCCGCATCCAGCTGTGCTCGAGTCTGGAAGGCCGGATCCCACGACTCGGAGAAACTCCAAGAGGTGGCGCAGCTGCACGAAGAGGCACCATACGTCCGAATACATCCCATGAGATCGTCAGAGATCGTCAGAGATCGTGAGACTCGTTTCTGCAACGTGTGCTTTGTTGGATTTGTTGGTCAGATTGTTTTGCCATGTTTTCCTGAACAAAGAAGGACTCGTTGGTAGCGTGGGTGTTGTAGGTTCGCTCATTGCGTCAAGCTGAAGCTGCTGCAGCTCGGCGCATTGAGGAGTGGTCAATATTGTCCATGCTAGATTCTTTCTGGTGCCTTTCCAAGTCACAAGATTGTAGACATTGTTGACTGCAGATGTCACAGAACTGAATTGTAGAAAATACATGCCATACTATGCCATACTCAAAGATCCTGCACATCAGTCACACATCCAACTAGGCATCCGGGATCCCACATCTTCTGTATCTTCTGTCGTGCTGGATTGAGTCTGGAAGGCCGAAGCTAATGAGTCGCGGAGGCTCCGAGAAGAGGTTGCGCAACTCCAAGAAGAGGTGCCATACAGAAGACATTCTAAATCATTCTAAGACTTGTTCCGAACCCGAGGTACGCTGGTTGCACCAATGACTCCACAGTATGATATTTGCCATGTGTCCTCTGTTATGTCAGTCTGTCTTATGATGCGATCTGGACACTAGAACGTTCTCAAACGTAGCTAATACAATGTAATACTTTAAAATACTTTAGACTTAGACATACTTCAGACCCCAAGCACGAAGAAGGACTCATCAATGTTTACAGGTCCGCTCGTTTCCTCAAGCAGATGCTGCTGCAGCACAAAACGTTCAAGAACCAGAAAATCGTTTGCCACAGGTGCCATCAAATAGACTTCGCTTGAGCATATGCGTAAAACTTTTGCAGCATATTATGCGAAACAGGCGAAACAGAAGAACAACAGAAAATTATAGACAGAAGATTTCGAGAGGATCGAGTCCGAATTATCGAAAGTAGATTTCAGTTGTGTCAACCGCTTCACCATGCCCCTCACCATGCTGATTTTTCCAGGCCGCAGTGGAGACCGCCCTTGCACAGGCAAGATTCCGCAAGCATTTATCCAATTTATCCTGTGATGGTGTAGTTGGCCAAGTTGGCTAAGTTGGCTAAGCGATTAAATATGGCTAATTCCTGTTGACCAAGGAGCTCACCATGTAGCCTTCTGTGTCGGAACAGTCCAATTTAAGGCTTGATATCAACCTTTCCCAGATGTTTCCAGTACATATTTGAAGAAATGCTGCCACACAAAAACAAAGTCAGTTCTGCAAGCTTGAACTGCGGGCTTGCTGAGTTTGATGTAGCAGGACGTGTCATTCTTTTCTTCTAGCATGCAACTTCATGTGGAACCCAGTTTGCTCTGGATTCAAGGTGCAACTTGCATCAGAAGTTTTGGGTTGCTGACAGAAGCTGCATTTGGTACAATGGCAAGGTCGCAGGGAGAAGAGTGGAGGAGCTGCAGGCCATTTTTGTGGCTACCTGTGCGAAGCAGGTTTCGAAGCAGCTGATACCGCAATGAAGCAGCAAGAATTTTCTTGCACTCTGCCTGATTCCAATACTGTAGCGCGAGTTGTTTGAACCCATTTCTGTGTCATTTCATGTTTGCAAACATTGACAGCGGTGGTTGAAGATGGGAGGGTTGGTCGCAGCATGTCGCAGCATTGACATTTGCAAAGATCCGCATCCAGCTGTGCTCGAGTCTGGAAGGCCGGATCCCTCGACTCAGAGAAACTCCAAGAGGTGGCGCAACTGAACGAAGAGGCACCATACGTTCGAATGAATCCCATGAGATCGTCAGAGATCGTTAGAGATCGCCAGAGATCGTCAGAGATCGCCAGAGACCGTCAGAGATCGTCAGAGATCGGCAGAGATCGCGAGACTTGTTTCTGCAACGTGTGCTTTGTTGGTCAGATTGTTTTGCCATGTTTTCCTGGACAAAGAGGGACTCGTTGGTAGCGTGGGTGTTGTAGGTTCGCTCATTGCGTCAAGCTGAAGCTGCTGCAGCTCGGCGCATTGAAGAACTAGAAAGTCGATTGCGAGAGGCGTGGTCAATATTGTCCATGCATGTCCATTCTAGATTCTTTCTGCTGCCTTTCCAAGTCACAAGATTGTAGACATTGTTGACTGCAGATGTCACAGAACTGAATTGTAGAAAATACATGCCATACTATGCCATACTCAAAGATCCTGCACATCAGTCACACATCCAACTAGGCATCCGGGATCCCACATCTTCTGTACCTTCTGTCGTGCTGGATTGAGTCTGGAAGGCCGAAGCTAATGAGTCGCAGAGGCTCCGAGAAGAGGTTGCGCAACTCCAAGAAGAGGTGCCATACAGAAGACATTCTAAGACTTGTTCCAAACCCGAGGTACACTGGTTGCACCAATGACTCCACAGTATGATATTTGCCATGTGTCCTCTGTTATGTCCGTCTGTCTTATGATGCGATCTGGACACTGGAACGTTCTCAAACGTAGCTAATATAATGTAATACTTTAGAATACTTTAGACATACTTCAGACCCCAAGCACGAAGAAGGACTCATCAATGTTTACAGGTCCGCTCGTTTCCTCAAGCAGATGCTGCTGCAGCACAAAACGTTCAAGAACCAGAAAATCGTTTGCCACAGGTGCCATCAAATAGACTTCGCTTGAGCATATGCGTAAAACTTTTGCAGCATATTATGCGAAACAGGCGAAACAGAAGAACAACAGAAAATTATAGACAGAAGATTCCGAGAGATCGAGTCCGAATTATCGAAAGTAGTTTTCGATCAGGGACATCCTGCTGTTAGAGAATTCTCATTTTCCAGTACCTGAAATCTTGGAATTCTTCTCAGTGCACAACAGTCACAAGCAAGTTACACCTGAACCACAGCTGTATGAGCAGCGAAACTTTCACCCTGTTGGATAGGTTAACGTTCAAGAACCTCATCTGTACTTCACATTGCGAGACAAGCCTGCCATCCTGGAGAAAACGGCCGACATCCCCTACCACGGCCACATCAAGCGGGAAGAAGGTTTAGACTGCTACGTGTCCTTTCCTGGAAAATATGCAGCCGGTTGGGATGCATTGATCAAGGAACGTCACGGACAATCCGTGGCGTGCGTATTCCTCTGCACTCCAGCTGACGGCCTTGGAAAGCATAAAGAAGAATTTGGTGGCCAGTGCTATTGCCCCACAATTTATGGGCAGCGGGACTTCAAGACTTTCGGTTACTTGAAAGAGCTGCCAGCATCTTGTAGCGAAGCAGAGGAGAAGATTGAGGTAGAGAAGGCGACAGCCACGAAGACTGTTGTGGTTCGATCAGATGCCAGCGACAAAGACAAACAAGAAGCTGAAGAGAAAGCACGACAAGCTTGGGAGGACAGTGGCAGAGTTGCCTCCTGGGGATGCGAATGGTTCCACACGTGGAAGAAGCAGGTGGCCGAAGCCGTGAGGTTGAAGCAACGTCTCAAGGTAGTGTTTTTCCCTGCGCAGACTGGCAAAGGTATAGTTTCTTTTGAGGATTTGAACAGAGTGAATCTTTGGGATGGAGTTGGCTGCGGTGGGAGCCAAAAGTGCGAAATCGCATACTTGGAGCAGATGAGGCAGCAGCAAGGAGAGGCTTGGAATTATGACCATGTCGATGTCAGCCATTTCCTGAAGGAAGAGTTCAAAGTTGGCGCTAAAGTTGATGCGTGGGACGGCAAGCAGTGGTGCAGAGGTACTTTACTCGATGTTCCCTTGAGGATACCAGAGAAGCCCGAGGAGGCAAAATGGACCGTAGAGTCCCAAACGAAGTGGCACATTTTTGTTACAGATCGGGTTAGGCATGCAGATTTGATTCAGGCGATGCTTGCAGAAGTTGGGCGCGAAAACTTCGTGGACCTGGTGAAAGACTCATTATCAACAGATCTTGGGATCGTGACAAATCAGGGTTTTGTATTCCCAGACGGCACACCTTCGCTCGCTCTCAGACTTGGGATCGACAACATTGCGTCTCTCCAGCATGTACGGAATGTAGTTTTGAATAGTGACTTGGAATCGCGCATAAATGAATCTTTGAAGAAGTGGCAAGTGCACGTGGATAAGACGCACTTTTGCAAGGTTTTTGAGCGAGAACTGCTAAACCTCTCAGACTTGACAGACCATCAAAAGGAGAAAGTGAGAGATATCAAAGATCTCATGAAGCACGGGGATGATTCGGGTCCTTTTGGCATGGCTAGGGGTCGTGTACAGCTGGCTCTCAGGGTCAAACCAGACGATGAGCGGCTCAAACCCACTTCTAGTGTTTGGCGGGTTGAGACAGTGCCGTTTGGTTGGGATTTTGAAAATGTGGAAGAAACTCTGGTTGAAGCAGGTTTCTCTGAAATTGATATTTTAGCAAAGCAACGCCGTCGTGGTGGCACTGCTTGGGTTTTCAAAGGCATGAGAAATGATGACCGTGATCAAATGCAAATCCATTATGATGCGGACGAGACGTGCAATGAGCCACCATTAGATCTGTTTTTAGTTAAGCAGTCCAAACGACGTGCGCCAGGAAATGTCCAGCCGTTGAAAGCAGAAAATGATGCGCTCTTTTCACTAGATGCATTTCACAAAAAAGGTAAGGGTAAAGGCAAAGGAAAAGGCAAGCACAAATCCAAGCTTGAAGTGCCTGACTTTGCAACCACGCTTGCCTTACCGAAAAGTAGTCTACCTCCATTACCCTCCAAGGATGATCGCGGTAACGAAGCTATGGATGTCAGTCTGATTAGCGTCCCAGATGCAAGTGATGTTGAGGATGAGCCCATGCATGTCCAGGGCACCAAACGCAAAGACCAGGCCATGTTGACCAGCCCGCAAAAAACTGGTCATGACAAAAAGAGGATGAAAGTGCCCGAGAGGCTTCAAAAAGTTCCGAACCCTGGGGAAGGGAATTGCTTGTTTTACTGTCTAGCTCAGGCGGAGTCTACCCCAAGTAAGTCCCGCAGCCACAGGCAGGTGCGTGCATTTGTTGTTGCCTACATGACCAAACACTTCAAGAAATACGAGGATTTCTGGGACGGTTTAAGCCCGAGCAACATTCCCATGGAGGGTGGGTTTGACGATTATTTACAAGCCCTTGAAAAAGATAAAGCTTGGGCGGGATATTGTGAAATCGAAGCATATGGCGAAGCCATGCGCCGACCTGTACTTGTTGTGCATGCCAAGGACAATGTTGTCCATGCTTTTAATAGTCATGGCGATAAGGATGTTGTCTGTCTCTGGTACAAGGATGAACATTATGAGCTTATTGTTCCTTCAGACGCGGATATTCAGGCCCTGTGGCAGAATGCTGAAGACGGTGGCACCAAGGGTTACCGCGGGGCCGCAAAGAAGGCACGCTTGGCTGCCGACAATGCCTCTATTTGCCTTTCACAATTTGCAACTCCCAAATCCAGCAGGCCAAGCCCAAGGTTGACCGATTTTGCCCAGAGCACCCCTGCCAAACGGAGTGCATGTCTGACTGATTTTGCATCAACGGCCAAACCGAGCCGTCAAAAGACCGAGCAATCAGAAGCCGAGCCATGTGGTTCCAACCCATCTGCCGCATCAGCTTCTGCGTCTGTTGCCACTGGGCGCGACCGGGAAATCACGTGGACATGTCACATTTGCAACGTCTCTTTCACTGACAAAGCATGCATCGTTTCAAAAAGACGTACGGATCACATTAGGCGTACGCATCGTGGTACCCCAACCACCAATTTTAAAAAGGCTGTTGATCAGTACAGGGCTCCGGTTACTGCCGTATCGTATGGGCCCACTCATGCTGCTGTTTCTTGGACTTGTGGTTTTTGCATGGGCACCCTCCCCATTTTGCCTAAGACACATCAGAAAGCATCAATCGTTGCTCATTTGCGCTCCTGCGCCAAGGCCCCAAAAGGGGCCACCAGAGGCGACTCCATTCTTCGCCTTTGCAAGAGAGCAAGCGTGTCATCTGATGTACCTCACAGAAGCATTTTGCCTTGGAAGCTGAAGCATCGCCAGATGTATGTGCAACTCAACAAGTTTGCCAAGGAGCAAGGACACTCCTTATCCCAAGTGCAGAGACGTACTACTGGAACGAAAAAATTGGCTGGTGGGTCGAAAAAAGTTATTTTCTTCATGGCTCAGCATGCTTGTTCCATTTGTGCTGGTTACTGGAAAACTGAGAAGTCCGTGAGAGCTGCAGGTCCTTGTGGCGGGCGGACTGCTCGTGCCGAGTGGTTAGCCATGCCTGGTCGCCAAAAATGCTGGCGTCAGGCTCCCAAAGAGCGCCAAGAGGCGCTGCACAAGGCTTGGCGTTTGAGTGCTACCGAGCGTAGGAAGCTTGATGATGCTTGGGCTAGTGCCAAGAAAAAGTCGCGCAAGAAGTGGCCGCCTAAGTCATGGAAACGCGATTTGACTGCCGAGAATATTCACCCCCATCCAGGCCCAGGCCATCCTGACCACTGGATTCTCTCGTGGAATTGCCGTGGATCGTGCAATGCTTGGAGGGGCCTAAACTTGCTTCAGGATGAGGGTAACTTGCCTTCTGTTTTATGTCTTCAAGAGCCTGACTTCGAGCCTCGTCAAGGCTCCCAGTATGTTGAAAGGCTTCAGAAACATGGGTACAAGTGTTGGACCATTCCGGCCAAACCTATTCGCACACTTAAACGTGAATTTTACCGAGGTGGTCTTTTGGTTGCATTGCGAGAGCATCTCAGAGGAGGCATCTGGGACACACTGGCTTGCGATGAAGGGTATGTCATGACTTTGGATCTTCAATCGTGCCTACTTTCCTCAGTTTGGCGTCGGCCAAGCCAACTTGATGGTTTGCAATTTTTGGAATATGTTGCTACGGTCACTGAAGAAGCACAACGCAGGCAGATACCTGCACTTTGGGTAGGTGATTGGAACGAAACTCCTGATGACAACGCCGCATCCATTTTCTTGAATGGCAGTGTTCTGGCTGTCACGGATCCTGATCAATGGGTGCCTAGCCGGTTCGAAGGTAAAAGATGTCTTGATTACGGAATTCTCAGCGGCGGGTACGGTTTTGCTGATTGCCCGCGTTACAGTGAATGTAAGATTTCTGATCACAAGATGTTTTGGCTTAGATTGCGCTTGCCCATTTTCCAGACTGATACGTGGAGGTTCGCTTGGCGGCCTAACTATGAATGTCCTCCGGAAGTGCCTGTTGAGCAATGGCGGGCCGTGCTTGCAGAACAATGGGCCGCTTACGTGCCATGTTTTTCTCAGGATCCCGACCAAGATTGGGAATATTTTCACCAGTTTGCTGAAAAGAGCATGCGTGAAGCATTGCACTTGTGTGGCCAGCCCGTGCCTAGGCCAGGCCATGCGCGCGGGAATTTGCCTCGTGTGATCAAGGCTGAACGCCCCCAGGTCAATACGTTCCCTGCCAGAAAACTTGTTAATGTGCTTGGTCGTCTCTATGAAGTGAAGCGACAGTTAGCCAAGTCCCAGGGAGACAAAAAGCTTTTGCAAAAATTATGGTCGACTTGGCCGTCTGAATACAATGAGCTTTGGGGGTCTTGGAACCACGCTATTGAAGTGTTTGAACAACGCATTGCGCTTGAAAACAGGAAGTCCAAGAACCAAAGGCTGACCGAGTGGCGTACCAGAATGCGCCAGGGGGGCAAAGAGGTGACCCGGTGGATGAAGCCTCACAAACCTCCAACACCACGCTCTGTTTCCGAAGATTCTTGCGCCACGATCACGCAAACCCTTGATTGTATTCGTTCTTTTTGGCAGCGTATTTGGAAACGTGATGACCTCGTTCCACACTTACCCCCGGAATTTAGAACAATGGAAGCCCTGGCTGGACCCCAAACTGATTGGATGCCAGATGCTGCCCTCATCCATCAGGCCGCTCTCAGAGCCTCGGGGTCTGCAGCCGGATGTGACGGTTGGTCCGGCAGCGAAGTTTGCCATTTCCCGCTTGTTGCTTGGGATCACTACCGTGATTTGGTTTTGCATTGGTCTCAGTTAAAACAATTCCCACAGGCATGGCTGCAGGTTCGTCAGGTTCATTTAAGAAAGGATGACGGTGGGACTGTAGGGTCTTTGCGGCCTATTGCAGTTGAAAGCATTTTTCTTCGGTTGGTCTCCTCATCTTATGTGAGGACCCCACAGGTTCAGGAATGGATTGCGTCTCGGGTCCCCGAGCAGTGCCATGGAGGCTTGAAATCCCGGGGGGTTGCCACGGCATGGAGGCAACTCAATGAAGCGTTTGAAAACCAGGAAGTTCTTGCTTCTTTAGATTTCTCCAAATGTTTTGATTTTGTCCACCCAGGTTTGGCCATTGAAAACATGCAACTGCAAGGGTTGCCAGATGAGTGGGCTAACATTTTGATGTTTGTATGGGGTCATCAAGTGCGATGGCTGTGCTTGGGGAAAGCTGTGCACCCAACGCCGGAGCATGTCCAGACCTCCATGCCGCAAGGTGATGCCTTTGCACCTCTGGCTCTTATCATGTTGCTCATTGGGCCCCTTCATGATGTGTCTTCCATTCCAGACTTGCGTCAGGTTGCATACGTTGATGATCGCGCTTTGAGCGCGCCTAATGTTCCACGTTTAATTGCTGGCATCCATAGATGGCGCAGCTGGAGTGCCACTTTGGGTCTCCATGAAAACGTTCAAAAAATGCGTTTAGTTGCCTGCACTGCGCAACAAAAGCAAGAGATCAATGACGCAGGGTTTGGTGAGTATCTCCGACCGGCCACTCGGGTCTTAGGTATTGACTTTAAGGAAAGTGACCTTATTGTTTCCCCTGTTCTTGAAAACCGTTTGCAAGAAGCAGTGTTTGCCGCTCACCGTTTGCAGAAATTGCCGGTTGCCCGCGATATCAGGATGTCTTTGTACAGGTCCAGAATCATTTCACTCGCCACCTGGGGCGCTTGGTTTGAACGATTGCCGCAGTCACAGTTGCCTTCGCTTCGAAAGGCATGGCATGCCATTTCCTATCTGCAAGGTAACGCTTCGAGACCTCTTTTCAACCTGCTTGTAGGTCATATGTATCATGCTGAGTTTTGGGCCACCATGTCTTCCATTCGGACCATGCGCCAAGTTCGTGCCCCTTGGCGAAGGATGCCACGACCTGGAGGCTGGCAGAGTTTCATTTGCGCACGCATGCGAGAGCTGAACTGGGAATTTCGCGGTCCATGGATGTTTGCACATGAGGATTTGGGTCATGTCGATTTATCCAATCCAGATGAAGCTGTTGTGAAACTCACCGAGCACAAGGTGAGAGAAAGTTGGCGCCGAGTGCAATTTGCCCTTTGGAAAAAGCAGAACCGCCGTGATAGGCATTATTTGCTTGATGTGCCGTATGAGGAAAGTCGTGTTTCCGATGCCCGCAAGTTGTTCTCTCTCACGTGTGATAGTCATCAGAGGGCCGTAATGCTTGGTTCTGCGCATTCCACGGCATGTTATGATAAGATGCGTGGACACGAAGTGAGGGAACAATGTCCCTTTTGCGGTGAGCAAATCCCACCTGTCTGGGAACATCTCTCCTGGCATTGCTCCGCCGAACAGTTGTCTTCCGGCCGCCCTGAGGTCCCTGAAGATGAATTGCAAAATCGTCTTGCTTGGCCCACACGTGGGTGTGATGCCTATGATAGAGCGGTTCTTCACCACATGGCCCGGGTCAGGGCCACTGTGCGTGAAAACATGAATTGATCATGTCCCGTTGGCTGCGGTGTCCGGTACCTTCGGGTATTTGAGGCATCCAGTCGTTCAACCCATAATAATGTCGGCTCCTGCAGGAGCTGGGAAGACGTTCGTAGCTGCACAGTGTGCATTAGATAAGCTCAGAAACAATCCCGATGGACAAGTCTTTTTCCTGGCACCTTCCATTGCCCTTGGCCTGTACTTCGTGCGGTGGCTTGCTCAAAGCTCTTCAAACCGCGGGCAGCTTCACAAGTTGTTGAGGCGCATTGTGTTGATGGAACCCCAAAGCCAAGCTTTTCTGAGCTTGCGTATCAAAGGCGACCGTTTTGACTGGATTCCGTTGCCCAACAGCAAAAAGCGATTTCTCTTAACAATCATCGATGAGGCACATAATTTTTTCTGTATAGATGAGAGCCACACTTTTCTGGAAGAGAAGATTGAGGCACCACGACAAGTGTTGCTCTTGTCGAGTGTATCCCAAAACTCATCTGGTGCAGTGCATTTTCCACCAGCGAAGGAGATCAGCCTGACACAAGTGGTGCGCAGTACGAAAAGGATAGTGGCTGGTGCAGCTGCATTTCAAGCAAGTGTGGCAGAAAAAGAGCAGATTGCTTCCTTATGCCCAGCTGGGCCTCCCCTGAAGGCTTTCCTCTTCGAGTCTGATGCACATGTCTTTGAAGATTATGCCAAACATACTGTGTCTGCATTGTTTCATGTGATGCGCATATATGCTGGACTCAGCTTCCACAATCGCTTGGCCCTTTTGGTGCCCAACCCTGACTTTCTGGAGAAGTTCCAAGATGCCTTGCAAAGACACTTCTTGACGGCACGCCTTGCAGGGCGAAACTTCAAGCTGATATCGTTTACTGAGTCGCTACGCATGCTCCCAAACGTCAAAGTGAAGCAGGCCACACATGCAGACAATGCAGAGCTGATAGTGCTGGACACGGTGGAGAATGCAAAGGGACTGGAGTCACTCATGGTGGTGTGCATTGGTCTGGATCAAAAAGTTGGTGACCAAAGTGCAAACCAGGTGGGGCGCTCAAACATATATCAAGCAATCACTCGGGCGCAGCTTCAGGCAGTGATTGTGAACCAGCTCCTCCGAGGAGGTTGGCTGGAATTCTTGGGGGTCACAAAATTCAAAAGTGATACCTTCAATGAATCCACAGCTATGGCCGAGACCACCACTGCTGCTGCTGAAGCCTTGACGAAAGTGCAGCTGCCATCGAAGTTGGCAATTCAGGCCTCGCAGGAAGATTCATCGCGAAGAGAAGATGCCAGGGCGATCCAAAGAGATCCTCTGAAGCCAGATGCTGTGCCACCTTCAAAGCCAATGTTGGAAGAAGGTCAAGACCCCACAACTGCACCTGAGGCGGGTGACAAGCCCGGTGACAAGTTGGTCGTGGAGATCAAGGATTCATCTGTGTGGGACGCCGATGTCATTGACATCAAGGAGCCGATCTCACAGCTGCAGTTTGACCCTCGATCACCCACTGGAAAAGCTGAGGAAGAGGTAGCATCCTTGGAGGTGCGGAAGTATCGTGTCTCACACTGTACACTGTCTTTGAAGTTTTGAGAGGTTTGATATGGGGGCACTTGTTTTTCATGTAGAACATGCTGTTTGCTGCTGTGCCCAAGACCCTCCGTGTGAGTTTCTTGCGATGTTGCCCATCCAAGCGGCAGGCTGAAGAAGTCCGAGAAGCCCGAGAAGCCCAAGAAGCTGCCGATGCAGAGGAAGCTGCAAGATGTCAGGGTCTTGGAGAGGTTCTTCAGGATCTTACAGGATCTTGGGATATCTTGGGGTCTTAGAGGTTGAGATCTTGCAGATCATCGCTTTGAGATGCGAGATATGATTTATAAAGTTTTATAAAATCATAGCGTTGAACAGCAGGCAAATACGGATTGAGTGCAAGTTGGTTGAGATGTATTCAGATGTGAATATAGACTTAGTTGAGATCTTCGGACACTTTTTTGCAACAGTTCCGTGACCCGTTTCTGAGTCTCACAATGCCATGCCTCTAACCAGTTTAGATTTTCAATTTGAGATTATCACGTGGAGATGATGACACGATAGAGCAGATCGAACATGGAAACAATGGAAGCCGCGCAACCTCACTGAGACATCTTCTGTATTTGGAGGTGTGCGTTAGTTGTATGATCCACAATTCCACATCAGAGGGGCTGTGAATACAATTGGATCTAGTTTTGGCAGAGGCATTTGATCCCTTGCAAATGCCATGATGCCACCACACACCAATTACATCCAATTACCATACAACTGATACAATCCACATACACACATTATCTGTACATATCTGTACTATATACAGTCATCGCTTTGACACGAAGAAGATGGTAACACTCGCAGCTTGCATACGTAGATGTCATAGATGGAGTACAACCTGACAAGACTAGTTTGAGACGCCAAGTGACCCCAGTGCCCTATGAGCAAGAGGAATTGGAAAATTGGATCCAGGGCCTGGCTCCACATGTGACGCTAAGATGCCAAGGGCCTTGGATCATACGTTTGAGATGGTTTGAGATGATAACATGTTAAAGTTGAACAGCTGGAAAAGTGACCTCAAAACCAGATGTTTCATGATGTTTCTATTTTCGATAGTCTTCGTATGTCTTCGTTATATACAATCCAAGCATATCCAAGCCATACAATACACATCAATACACATCAATACACATCAATACACATCAATACACATCAATACACATCAATACACTTCGTTGTTGACTCAAAAAAAAATCAACACATTCAACGTGTTCCACGATTTTTTGGGTCTCAGTTGTGGCCTCTGCGGCCCTTCCACCGGTGCCCCGGGGCGGCCCGTGGCCCTCCGAGGCGACAACGACATCCTCGTGGCGGCCGGGCGCGGTCACCTCGGCGGGGTCCGGCACCTGCTGCGGACGGTGCCCGGCGCCGTGGCCACGAAGGACCGCTGGGGCGGCACCGCGCTGCACTGGCCGGCGAGCAACGGCCGCGCGGAGATCTGCCGGGTGCTGCTGGCGGCGGGGGCCGAGGTCGACGCCAGGGACTTCGACGGCCTCTCGGCCCTGAAGAGATGGATACACGGTGCTTTGGGAGATTTCAAGGTGCCGAAAAAAATCGAATTCAAAATGTGAAATGATGTGAAATGTAAACGGTAGGGCGGGTTTGGTGGGTTTGGTAGGTTTTATAGGGCTTAAAAAAAAAACAGTTTCCAGTTGAAATAATTTGGATCAACAACCACATCACATGGTCAGGATTTGTAAAAACAACAGATATCATCACTCAATTCAAACAACTATAACTTGAATTTTTGAAAGTAATGAAAGGATTTGAATTGGGGACATTTTCAGCTTTTGACGGAGCCTTCAATGTGCGCCTTCTAGGAGAATTGGGACGTTCATGGATTGTTCCATTTTTCACATGCTTCGTTGTTTTCGCTTTGCTTTGCATCAGAAGGACATTTCTGGGGGCAGTCTCTCGCCCGAGGTCGCACCCCGCTGCATTGGGCGGCGGGCAACGGCCAAGTGGAGACGGTGAAGCTGCTCCTCGAGGCGAAGGCCTCGGTGACTGTGAAAGACGACCTAGGCCGGGGGCCTCGGCTGGGAGATGTGATGGGCTTTCGATGGCTTTTGCTTTCTTATCTGATTCTATTGTATTACTATACTTATTGTAGTACTTTATGGTGGCTGTTTTGTTTGTTGAACGTTGAGACTTCCTGTGGTCAGGAGTCAGTCAAGGTGTCTTAGTGTCCTCAGGCACTAGGGTTGTTTAGCTGAAGGTGATTGGAGATGCGGAGATACAGTACGCATTTAGATTGACATTCTACGACATCCTCAAGACACAGCATTGTTTGAAACAACGCAAGCATACGCAAGCAGCATGAGAAGACGTCTCAACGGATGGAGACTCACTGAATGTTTGTTGATAGAAAATGATAGAAATGTATCATGATGTATCATATGATCAATGGTATCTGTGAATGTGCACAAGGCACATCCAGCCTCCGCATGTGCAATACGTTGAATGAAATGATGCGTGCATAATACATACACACATCCTCATTCATTCGAGATATTTGTCAAGACGCCAGAGCGAAATTTTTCAACACCGAACTTGCCATCTCCAAGCTGTATGGACATGTATGGACAACCTGATTCTCTGTTTTTTTTGTCATTGGAATTCTTTGCCCTCCTGGACTGATCTACTCGTACAACAAGAACTGTCCAATCGGTTGATTTTGTGTTGAGGCAGGCATTTTACTTGAAAGCAACATCTCGGGAATACTTCTCTTACGTACTTATATTCGGGAGAAGCACCATTTCAAATGTGTTATTTGTTTTGGTCTGGGGGTTCGAATTTGAAGGTCTCCTTCAACTTCGAATGCCACAAAGGGATGCCGAAGTGATGTGAAACTTCAGTCTTTCCACAAGTTTCAACACAGTCTATGAACTATGAACGCTACCATGAAAGTTAATGGCAAGCTCTGGATTCTGGCGGGGTTCAAGGAGGGCTTGTCTCTGGGAGATAGAACTTCAGCCGAATCAACATTGTTAACATGGGGTGTGAATAGCGTTTGGAGCAACTTGAATAACTGGCGTGAAGAATGACGGCAACAATGTTTTGTTTTAAAGTGACCGAATTCGATACATCAAACGCTCTACAAATCTCTACAAGTAAATTCTTCAATATATGGCTTTTGAAATGACATCAAGACCCATGAGTGTGGTGCAATCAACATCAATTGCAGCGCTCAGGCCAGACTCCATTGGACGATGCACGAAGACGGCGCAAGGATGAAGTTGTGAAGATTCTGGAGAATGCAGAATCTTGGCTGCACAAATGTGTCAACAAGAGCAGGTCGTTCGTTTCGGAGTCCGACTGCTTCCAGCAAGACACAGCTACAGCCGCAGATTTTGATTGTGCCTTTGCTTTACCTGAGGCATGAAGCTCCAAGCTTTGCGCGTGGAGCAACTCAGCTGTTGGTGCGATCTCTGGATTGATGGTGCAGCCTTCATGTTTCACGCGCCCTTGGTCGAATCGGTACGAAAATGCAAACATCTGAGGGCGCACAAATAGATTACTGTTTTGCGAGGTGCAGAATTGAAGGAACATGTTTCTCATTTCGGCTCTTTATGATTTTGGAGAGGCCCCCAATCATGAGAAGTTACGGCTCTTTTCTTGCTCAGATATGTTTCGACCACGGAAACGACACTCTATCAGCGAACCTTCTGGAGTTTCCTTCCAACCATTTTGTTTGCTTCAAGTGTCTGGAGTCATCATGCTGCTTCTTGGCACATCCTGGTTCAAGCCTCAGTCGCCATGTGCAGGTGACGAACTTGCCAGCTTGCTAGCCCATTTGACAGGGACAAATTCACAGGGTTGTCAGTTTCCATGCTGGAATTGCTCAGGTCCCCTCTCATTTGGATTGGTCCATTGGTTTTGCCCACCGAACACGAACCTCCCGCTGCTGCATGGCTGCGCGACTGGCTCCAACTTTTCAGGCTGGAAACGCACTTGCCTTGGCCTACACATGCTGAAAGTCTGACAATAGTTGAGCTGGGCAATGAGGTGTTTTATTGTGCCTAAAGGATCCTAAAGGTATGAATATGTCGACTGTTAGAAAACGCAGAACATGTTTTTATTTGCTACCATTCTGTTTGCCATTCTGAGCAGCCTTTATGACGCTGTCATTTAAAACGGTCTTGAACATCCTGACATGGGTGCCTTCTCATTGAAAAAGCAAAGAATCTGATGATTGCGTTCATTGGATTGTGCATGTTTGAACCATGTTAAACCTTCGCTCAATTCAACCACAAATCCGCGGAACGTCGTTGTGATGATGTGTTGGGTGGAGTCTTGAAGAAATTTTGTAGAGCGTCATTTGGAGCCACCCAAACTCTCGCGGCCTGCAGACACTTGTCGCACACTGGCCATCGGCCTCGACTTGTTGAACCCTTCTCCAAAGTTGAGAACTTGGATATCCGCAAAGAAAACTCTTGAAAGTTATCAGCGTCCCACCTCAATCTTGTTGTCTTCCCCGACCTAAACTATGCGGGCAGTGTCCACGACCTTGCATGATATGGGCAGAAAGAGATGTCTCACAGAGGTGCCGTGTAAGCCAATGGCGGAATCGGTCAAGTGTAAAGAACATAGGCCCAACATCACACATTCTGCGCCAAACTCATACCTAGAAGAACCCTTGGGCACTTTTTTCTGCCCTCGGCGCCTAGGCAGCCGCATAGGCACTTTCACCTGGAAGTTTGCAAAACTCGGCAGATTTATATTGATGTAGGCATTTTTATCTCAAGATGTTTTTTGTGCTCCGACATCATTTTGTGCCTAGGCATTTTTACCCGGAAGTTAGGCGGAAAAACCCGGAATCTAGGCGGAAAAAGCGGAATTTGGCAGAATTTTTGTTCGAAACATTTTTCTGCACTGAACAACGTGACAAGACCATACAAAAATTTATCAGCCTCGGCTTTTTTTGGGCCTAGGCATTTATTCTGGGAATCGGCAGAAATAAACGCCCACCTGCAGGTTAGGCACTTTTTTCTGCCTAGAGGAGTTTGTAGGTATTTGGACGAGTGTTTCTGTGGGCGATCCAAAACTTGCAATTACCCACTTCAGTCCAACCATGAAATCTATTGAAATCTTGTATCATGCAGCAGCCTCGTCCACACTCCCCATGTTTTCTCAGTGCATTTTCAATGAACAAATCAATTCCACGCATTTCATATGAACTTCGTTGACCTTGCAAAGTTCAGTTAAATTTGAAGGGGTGCACTCTTCTGAGCTTGGTACTACAACTCCGAAACCAGAACCACATCAGCTCCAGATCGCGTGGGCAGCAACATGCCAAACATATCCAAAAGTCTTCAACAACCTGGTAGTGTTAGGCCTCGTTGATTCGTGTTGCAGGCGTGACACTTCATGACCTCGTAAAAGAGACGACCATAAGCTGATGGCCTTGCCGGTGTCAGTCCCTTGGCAAAACTGCGTTCAACGTCTCTTCACAAGTGCTGCTTGCGCACAGGAATTAGCTGGGCCCCATGCCTCCAAGTGCAAACCTTGATCTCCAATCACACTCAAGTGTGAAGATCTCGGACAAAGTGATATCCCAAATACCAGAAGGGTACAGTGCATATTGCAGGTGTTGCTAGTTCTTGTTTTCGGTGTGCCAGGACCCCGAAGAGCTGGTGAGTCATGCAGGCCACGGAGATGTTGATGGTTGGTGGCAGGGGCTGTTTCCGCGGGAGGAGCGTCTTAGAATTTTTGGTTGGAATGTATGATCCTGATTGTCGGCTGAAACGGACACTTTTCAGAATTTTCAGACCTTAAGATGTCAAGATGTCTTGACTTTTCAGACCTTAAGAATCCTTAAGATGTCTTGATTTGTCTGCTGGAGTTCTGAAGTATTAGCTGTACCAGTAGGTTCATCAGGGTCAACGGATTGCCTAAGAAGTGGGCGCAGAATTGGAGGTGTTGGTTTCTCTTGAAAACGCAAATCTCTTGAAAGCAAAACAAGCAGTCTATGGTGGTCTTTGATTCTGTATTTTGAATCAGAAAGCTAATTTTCTGAAAAGTATTTCCTGGCATAGAGATTTCCTTTTACATTACATAATTTGTGCACTGCCCTGAGACACAGCAGTGCTTGGCCACTCATTCGCTCCAAATGAGATTGTGATCCAACCCTCGCCGTGCTTCGCGCTGAGATTGTTCAGGTTGAAAGACATGAAATTATATTTCTTTCATGTCAATGTAGAAACATTACTCTGTCAAAGTGCGGCCTTTCACGATGGTCCAAGTCTCATGTCTCACAGTCTTTCGATTTCAGGATCTCACCTTTCAGGGCCTCACCTTTTAACTAATTTGAATCCTGCACATATCCAGAGCAAATTGCAGGAATTGCATGCAACCAAGTGATTTTCGGAATCGTGCAACAGTATCGTGGACATGTTTTTACCTCGCCGCAAGAGCGAAAGAGCATGAAATCATGAAGTTCCTGTGGGATCTGTGGGCTTTTCTGTTCTGGCTCGGTGCTGCAGATGTTTGGCTTTCGGAGCTGAGTTGTGTTGCAAGGCACCACACCTCACGACCTTGCAAAGGACGGCGATGACAAGAAGGTCATGGGTTTGCGGGAGCCAGTCCCATGCCAAAACCGTGTTCAATATGTCAGAAGGTTCAGTTGTTCATTATTTTTGTGCCTGTAGTAGTGCTGAAATTGTGCTGACACAGGTATACTCGGGAACTGGCTGGTTGGACCGTGTGTTTGCGAGTGCAAATTCTCGTGGTCTGCCATCAAATTCAATCTGAACGCATCTAAACCGCTTCAAATTCAGCAGAATCTAGCTAGCTAGCAAGCTAGTGCATGAGCCAAGCGGCCAGGTTTTCGTGGCTCTGCTGAGTGGCAAAGACTGTGAATGTGACTCGGCCGCCCCATGGATACACCTCCCTTTGTCCATGCAAGGTGTAAGATGGTGTAAGCGAGTGTAAGCATGTAGAATCTCTGCTGTTGACATGCAAAGAAGTGGCTACTGTCGATTTTCAAGAGTTAAGTACACTTGCAAATTCATGAATCGATGTTGTTCTCCGAATTAAATGGCATCAGATGTGATAACCCGGTTGGTGCCCTACACGGCTGCATCGGTGGATTGTGTTGATACCTCCACTCTCTTTTGCTTTTTCGGAATCTCAGGCCTGTGGTTGCAAGACCGGACTATCCGACAGCTGAAAGAAGAAGCTCAGCACCTTAGCAAGTTAGGCGTGCAGCATATCATGTGGGGTTTGGATGGTTTGGTCCTGGCTTGTCTTTGGCGACTTTGTATTCTCTCCGACACTGTTTTGGTGTTTTCTGTCTTGATGTTCCTTCTGCTACGTAGGTGTCTCTTACTGGTTGTGCTACGTGCAATAGTTGTCAAACAGGAGCCGAGGAAGAACATGCCCAAGGCATTTGCATGGCCTTCAATGCTCGGTTGTACTTCCTATTTAGAGTGGTATAATGTGGTATACGGTATACTTGTTTTATCGAAGTTTCAATTATTTTCAAAGAGGCCAGGGAATATCAACTTAGACGCAGAATGAAGCAGGCGCAGTCAGTTTCTGGCGCTGCTCACACACTTCCGTTACGAAATGAGAGAAGAGCAGGGGATCGGTTGCAACCTGCAGTGCCCCACAGTTGAGTTGGACACCCGAGGCAAAAGCTGGATATTGCCATCAAGCACTTGATTGGTCCCGACATGGAGCCGTTGCTGCTTGGGCTGCAAAGAACTCTTCTAAACTTTCGCCTGTTTCATTGATGTTGCACTTGCTTAAGTTTGCAGTAGGATGCAATCGGACATGCAACCAGACCTAAAACACGACGTTGTGGCAGCAGCGAAACTCATACTGGGTCCATGGGCCTTTCTGCAACATCCGTAATGTTGTTGAGATATCTGGCAAATTCTGCCATTTAGAAAAAAGAAAAAGGAGTTTTTTCTCAATGACTTTGTGTAGGTTCGTCAAATTGTTGGACGGTGAATGGCAAATGTCGGTGCAGCGATGAAGTCTGGGAAAGTCCGATTAAGTCCAGGAAAATACAGGCGTGGAAAGGCTCGTTCGGCGAAGGACTAAGAATGACAGCGTCCTCTGGAGAATGACTCAGATTAGAACGTGTTACGTAGAAAATTTTGACAGTGGATTTGAATGAGATACTGTATTCCGATATTCCCAGGTATTGCAACTTGAAAATAGTATCAAATAGTACATGTGCATGTAATTTATGATTCGGATGTTCATACCAGTGCAACAGCAAACAAAATGAAGGTCTCTTGAATCAAGATCACAAATTCTGGAACAAGAGCTTGGCTCGTCCAAGAGTACCTTTCCGTATTTGCCAAGGGATGAAGAGAAGATGCTGGCAGAAGAAAACGTCATGCCTGGCACAACGCTGACGGTCGTTGCAGCGGCCTGGCATGTGACAGGAGCAATGTGACAGTAGTTCACCTGTCAGTGGTTGGGGGCCTTCAAATTCAAACAAGATTAAGCTCTTTCGCAGAAAGAGAAGAACAAGTTGCAAGAAGAACAAGTCAAGAACGAGTCAACCCATTCTGACATTGCAATAATTCCATCATAAGCATCCCCAGCTCAAGCAATACAACCAACGCATTGCAGTGCATGCCCATGATGTGTTCAAATGCTTCAACATGCACCATACTGATTTCGTGTTTTGGGATGGCGGGGCAAAAAGCATGCTGTGCAGCATTGCATGTTCAGAAGCATTTGTCGAGACCCGACCTGGAGGACCATTTGTGCCTATGTCTATGTCTGTCACATTGCACGTGGATAATGAAGGCAAACATGCTTCATGAAGTGGTGGATCCTCAGCATGAGACCACCTCCCTAAACAAGTTTCCAGAAAGTCAATGAAAACACTTGTAATTCACCGGTGAGTTTTGTGTCTGTTCACTTGGCAGCTGAGGTAAACCAGGCAGCAGAGGATGAGAAAGAAGCGGCAGAATGCTGGGCTCTCAGCAGTTGATCCCGGGTCTGCTCCCCGCATGGTCAGCACTTTCTCGACACATCTCGACACACATTGCACGAATTTACCAAACTAATTCTGAAACGATATCCCATCATATCCCATCATACCCCATCATATGAATCATATCCCATCATATCCCACCATATCCCACCATATCCCATCATATCCCATCATATCCCATCATATCCCATCCTATTCCGTCTGACCTCAAAATCAGATGTTTCATATTGTTTCTATTTTCTCCCAGTCTTCGCTCTATACAATTCAAGCATATCCAAACCATATACAATACACATAGTTGTTGAGCCAACAAATTCAGAGGAGTCAGACTGATTGCATGAGGTTATTGTGATTACTTACAGTAAATTCTAGCTCAAGTCTTCTTTTAAAGATTTTTTGGGTCTCATTGTGGCCTCGGCCCTGCCACCGGGGCGACCGAGCGCGGCCGCCTCGGCGCGGTGCGGCACATCGTGCGGACGAACCCCGGCGCTGTGGCCGCTGTGGCCGGGGCCGCGAAGAACGGCATCTTCGGCGGCGGCACCGCGCTGCACTGGGCGGCGAGCAACGGCCGCGCGGAGATCTGCCGGGTGCTGCTGGCGGCGGGGGCCGAGGTCGACGCCAGGAACGACTATGGCCTCTCGGCCCTGAAGAGATGGATACACGGTGCTTCGGGAGATTTCAGGGTGCCAAACAAAATCGAATTCAACATGTGAAATGATGTGAAATGATGTGAAATGTAAACGGTAGGGTGGGTTTGGTGGGTTTGGTAGGTTTTATAGGGCTTTTAAAAAGGCAGTTTCCAGTTGAAATCATTTACACCAACAATTACACATGGACAGGATTTGAAAGAACACAAGATATCACACGATTGAAACAACATGAAACAACCATAATTTCAATCATGAAAAGAATTGAAGTTGGATCCGTTTTCTACGGGGCAGGTCTTAAGGATCGCATAAAAACAGATGAGGGAGCTGGTTTTGGTCGGTTGATCATTCACATGTGTAAGGAGTGCATAAATGTTGAGAAGCGGGTTGTTTATAAATGAGGGGGAGAGGATTTATAGATACAAGGCTTTACAAGACATTTTAAATTCAGAAGAAGATGTTTCGCAGCTGGAGCCCACGCATACCAGCATTCACAAGAACATGCTTGGAATCACATCAACCAAAGAACCTGTTTCCTACATGTTTGTGTTTTGTCGGGTGAAGTGGCCTGCTCGCTCCTTCAACCTTTGAGTGCAGCAAAATGGTAAGTGAGCACACGCTACATTTTGATACATTTTGCCACGCAGTAATACATACTAGTGGAAGTTGTGGATGTAATGTACATGGACACCTTTCAAAGAAGTACTCTTCTCAAGGACGCTTTGTGTTTCCTTTCTAGCAGTGTTGATCTTCTTCTTGATACGTACGCTTGATTTCCATGTATGGTGAAGGCTCTCAGCAGATTGCCTTTGTTCATCAATTTTTTCCGTTTCGAAGATGAAACTTCAGCCCACCTGACATATGGAAGCAGAGGCTTTGAAGGCATTTCTTCTGCAAACTTGTTTGGGGTGGAGGATTAAGGCAAGAGTCTCTACATGTTGATCTCAAACATTTCGGGGTTGCGTATATGAAACGCACAAAAGCTTTGTAAATCAATTTGTCAATCTGGCTCTGGGCATTGCGATTGGACACCTATAGAAGTTACGACTTCGGCTTTCACATGCCTTGGGAGCGCTCAGGCTGGACGCCCTTGGATCGTGCAAGAGAAGAGGGCCACGCCGAAGTCGTGAGGCTACTTGAGGACGCTGAATCTTGGCTGTGACGATAAGAACAGGTCCCTCGCGGTCCACAGATGTCTGCGCCAATCTGTTCACAAGACCGCCTCGGTGAATTTGAGACGTGCGCGTAGTACTCGTAACATGCAGAGGCATGGATTCCTAAAATCTCTTTCAACCTGCTGCAGCTCATGGTTACAAAGCGCTGGCTCACATTGGAGTATGTTGGAGAAGAGAGGCTGAAGACTTCAAAGACTTGTCTCGGGCAGCTTCCCATGCCCTTGGATTTCCTTGACACATTTTTTTACTAGGATGCTAGCAAAGCGTCATTTCCGAAACCCGATTATCAGACAGGAACTCCACTGTTAGTTTCCTGCACGGACATGGGACGGCTGCCCTCGCTAGGAGTGACTGCAATTTGCCTTCCCGTAGCCTTCTCAGACGTCTGCCGGGTGGCTTTTCGGGACTATATGATGCTATATGTACTAGTTATGAAGAATTGACATGTTTCGAACTCTTTGGGAAGATACTCTTTGTATTCCAGGTTGTGATTCATCACCCGCAGTCATCCTGCCAAGTGGCCCGTCCCATCGGGCTTCCGGAAAAAGATCCAAGGCAAGATCCTCTGCTCGCGGAGATAGGATCAGCAATGATGGGCGTAGATCACCATCAAATCAGTAAGCATTGGTTTCCATGAAAATTAGCAATGAGAATCAGCAAAAGTCAACCATGGTCCAACCTGAATCATCAAGTACATCAAGTTAGAGTTGGCCCATGCTGTGTGGATGTACAGTCGTACTCCGAGCTGGCGCTTCCATGGCCAAAAAGTTGCATCAACTCATAGCTTTTTGAGCACCCCTCATCCAAAGTTGTACACATCAATACACATCAATACACATCAATACACTTCGTTGTTGACTCAAAACTCAAAACATTCGACGTGTTCCACGATTTTTTGGGTCTCCATTGTGGCCTTTGCGGCGCTTCCGGTGCTCTCCCGGGGCGGCCCGTGGCCCTCCGAGGCCACAACGACATCCTCACGGCGGCCTACGACGGCCGCCTCGGGGGGGTCCGGCACCTGCTGCGGACGGTGCCCGGCGCCGCGGCCGCGACGAACAGCCTCGACTCCACCGTGCTGCACGTCGCGGCGGGCAAAGGCCACGCGGAGATGTGCCGGGTGCTGCTGGCGGCGGGGGCCGAGGTCGACGCCAGGAACGACTATGGCCTCTCGGCCCTGAAGAGATGGATACACGGTGCTTTGGGAGATTTCAGGGTGCAAAAAAAATCGAATTCAACATGTGAAATGATGTGAAATGATGTGAACTGTAAATGGTAGGGTGGGTTTGGTGGGTTTGGTAGGTTTTATAGGGCTTTAAAAAAAGCAGTTTCCAGTTGAAATAATTTGGATCAACAACCACATCACATGGTCAGGATTTGTAAAAACAACAGATATCACTCAATTCAAACAACTATAACTTGAATTTTTGAAAGTAATGAAAGGATTTGAATTGGGGACATTTTCAGCTTTTGACGGAGCCTTCAATGTGCGCCTTCTAGGAGACTTGGGACGTTCATGGATTGTTCCATTTTTCACATGCTTCGTTGTTTTCGCTTTGCTTTGCATCAGAAGGACATTTCTGGGGGCAGTCGCTCGCCCGAGGTGAAACCCCGCTGCATTTTGCGGCGAACAACGGCCGTGCGGAGGTGGTGAAGCTGCTCCTCGAGGCGAAGGCCTCGGTGACTGTGAAAGACAACAAAGGCCGAGGCCGGGGGCCTCGACTGGGAGATGTGATGGGCTTTTGATGGTTTTTGCTTTCTTATCTGATTCTATTGTATTACTATACTTATTATAGTACTTTATGGTGGCTGTTTTGTTTGTTGAACGTTGAGACTTCCTGTGGTCGGGAGGCCATCAAGGGGTCTTAGGGTCCTCAGGCACTAGGGTTGTTGGCTGAAGGTGATTGGAGATGCGGCGACACAGTACGCATGTAGACAGGCATTCTCGACATCATTCGACATCATTGCTTGAGATAATGGAAGCAGCATGAGGAGACGTCTCAACGGATGGAGACTCACTGAATGTTTGTTGATTGAAATGTTGTTTGTTGATAGAAATGTATCATGATGTATCATATGATCCATGGTATCTGTGAACATGCACAACGCATATCCAGCCCCCGCATGTGCAATATGTTGTATGAAAATGATGCGTGCATACTACATACACACATCCTCATTTGTTCGAGATATTTGTCAAGACGTCAGAGCGAAATTATACAACACCGAACTTGCCATCTCGAAGCTGTATGGGCATGTATGGATAACCTGATTCTCTGGTTTTTTTCTCATTGGAATTCTTTGCCCTCCTGGACTGAACTAGAACAGGAACCGTCCAATCGGTTGACTTTGTGTTGAGGGTATTTTACTTGAAAGCAACATCTCGGGAATACTTTTCTTACGTGCTTATATCCGTGAGAAGCACCATTTCAAATGCCCGGAGATTTCTCCTGGAAAATTTCAGGAGTTTCCGCTTTTCAGTGATTTCAGGAGTTTGAAGTGTTTCATGACATTTCACAGCGCGACACTGCCAAGTGGGGGCCATCCACAAACCCTGAGAATCTGAAAATGTTAGCTCTCCGTCATTTTGGGATTTGCGGATATTTGCGGGAGTTTTGCGGATATTTGCGGGAGTTTTGCGGACATTTGCGGGAGTTTTGCAGGAGTTTTGCGGAAAATTGTGGGAGTTTTGCGGGTAATTTCCAGCGGTTTCGGTGGCAGCTTTCACTTTGCTCACCTCAACCCTCAGCCTCAGACATTGAAAAACACCCTGGACATCCAATTGCCTTTCCAAAAACAAAAAACAAGGAATTGTAAGAGTTTCAGGTGTTTGATGTCAAAACCCATCGTTTTCAGAGAAAACAGCTATTTGTTTTGGTCTGGGAGTTCGAATTTGAAGGTCTCCTTCAACTTCGAATGCCACAAAGGGATGCAGAAGTGATGTGAAGCTGCAGTCTTTCCACAAGTTTCAACACAGTCTATGAACGCTACCCTGAAAGTTAATGGCAAACTCTGGACTCTGGCCCTGGGGTTCAAGGAGGGCTTGTCTCTGGGAGATAGAACTTCAGCCCAATCAACATTGTTAACATGGGGTGTGAATAGCGTTTGGAGCAACTTGAATAACTAGCGTGAAGAATGACGACAACAATGTTTTGTTTTAAAGTGACGGAATTCGATGCATTGGACGCTCTACAAATCTCTACGAGTAAATTCTTCAATATATGGCTTTTGAAACGACATCAAGACCCATGAGTGTGGTGCAATCAACATCAATTGCAGCGCTCAGGCCGGACTGCATTGGACATTGCACGAGAAAAGGGCCACGATGAAGTTGTGAAGATTCTGGAGAATGCAGAATCTTGGCTGCACAAATGTGTCAACAATGCAGGTCGTTCGGTTCGGAGTCCGACTGCTTCCAGCAAGACACTACAGCCGCAGATTTTGATTGTGCCTTTGCTTTCCCTGAGGCATGAAGCTCCAAGATTTGTGCGTGGAGCAACTCAGCTGTTGGTGCGATCTCTGGATTGATGGTGTGGCCTTCATGTTTCACGCGCCCTTGGTCGAATCGGTACGAAAATGCAAACATCTGAGGGCGCACAAATAGATTACTGTTTTGCGAGGTGCAGAATTGAAGGAACATGTTTCTCATTTGAGCTCTTTTCTTGCTCAGATATGTTTCGACCACGGAAACGACACTCTATCAGCGAACCTTCTGGAGTTTCCTTCCAACCATTTTGTTTGCTTCAAGTGTCTGGAGCCATCATGCTGCTTCTTGGCGCATCCTGGTTCAAGCCTCGGAAGATTGAAATCAAGCCTCGGTCGCCATGTGCAGGTGACAAATTTGCCAGCTTGCTAGCCCATGTGACACGGACAAAATCAAGGGTTGTCAGTTTCCATGCTGGAATTGCTCAGGTCCCCTCTCATTTGGATTGGTCCATTGGTTTTGCCCATCGAACACGAACCTCCCGCTGCTGCATGGCTGCGCGAGTGGCTCCAACTTTTCAGGCTGGAAACGCACTTGCCTTGGCCTACACATGCTGAAAGTCTGACAATAGTTGAGCTGGGCAATGAGGTGTTTTATTGTGCCTAAAGGATCCGAAAGGTATGAATATGTCGACTGTTAGAAAACACGGCACATGTTTTTATTTGCTACCATTCTGTTTACCATTCTGAGCAGCCTTTATGACGCTGTCATTTAAAACGGTCTTGAACATCCTGACATGGGTGCCTTCTCATCTAAAAAGCAAAGAATATGATGATTGCGTTCATTGGATTGTGCATGTCACGAAAGCTACTGTAGCGTCAGCTAGCTGGAGTCTTCTTGCTTTAGCAAGTATTCCGGGGGCTGCTCAAGGACATCACGTGATTTTTCACGCGAAAGGGGGGGGACCCCCACCACCACCACCACCACCACCACCATCACCACCATCATCATCATCATCACCATCATCATCGTCATCATCATCGTCATCATCATCATCATCGTCGTCGTCATCATCATCATCATCATCGTCATCGTCCTCGCCATCGTCCTCGTCATCGTCATCATCATCATCATCACCACCATCACCACCATCATCATCGTCATCATCCTCGTCATCGTCATCATCATCATCATCATCATCATCATCATCATCGTCATCGTCCTCGCCATCGTCCTCGTCATCGTCATCATCATCATCATCATCATCCTCATCGTCCTCGTCCTCGTCCTCGTCCTTGTCCTCGTCATCGTCATCGTCCTCGTCATCGTCATCGTCATCATCATCATCATCACCACCATCATCGTTAATCAATTACATTTTATCATTATTGGCAATTATTGGCATTATCACGAAAGCTAGCGTCAGCTCGCTAGAGTCTTCTTGCTTTAGCAAGTATTCCGGGGCTCCCCAAGGACATCACGTGCTTTTTCACGCGAAAGGGCCCCCCCTGCCCCAAGCATCGTTTTCTATCTTACGCAACTGATCCACAGCAAGTAAACGCATGTTGGGGTGACTTTCCCGGGAAGTCCCCCCCAACTAAACGCAAGATTTTGGATCCGGCGGGGTGAGTTCACTATAGGTGAGTATATATCATTGTTATATATCATATATCATATATCATTGTTGCATCCTCGTTGGGACGAACAATGCCGCGACACGATGATGACAGTCCCTCCGCAACTCACCTCTTCCCTTCCTTCTTTCTCCTACCCCGATAGCTTTCGTCATCCACCCCCGGCCTCAAGTTTGAAACATGTTAAACCTTCGCTCAATTCAATCACAATCCGCGGAACGTCGTTGTGATGATGTGTTGGGTGGAGTCTTGAATAAATTTGTACTCTCGCGGCCTGCAGACACTTGTCGCACATTGGCCATCGGCCTCGACTTGTTGAACCCTTCTCCAAAGTTGAGAACTTGGATATCCACAAAGAAAACTCTTGAAAGTTATCAGCGTCCCACCTCAATCTTGTTGTCTTCCCCGACCTAATTAAATTATGCGGCCCCAGTGTCTGTGGGCGATCCAAACCTTGCAATTAACCACTTCAGTCCAACCATGAAATCTTCTATCATGCAGCAGCCTCCATTGTCTGGCAAGTAGAACGGCCAGAGTGTACGTCCACACTCCCCATGTTTTCTCAGTGCATTTTCAATGAACAAATCAATTCAACGTATTTCATATGAACTTCGTTGACCTTGCACAAAGTTCAGTTAAATTTGAAGGGGTGCACTCTTCTGAGCTTGGTACTACAACTCCGAAACCAGAACCACATCAACTCCAGATCGCATCGGCAGAAACATGCCAAACATATCCGAAAATCTCCAACAACCTGGTAGTGTTTGGCCTCGTTGATTCGTGTTGCAGGCATGACACTTCATGACCTCGTAAAAGAGACGACCATAAGCTGATGGCCTTGCCGGTGTCAGCCCCTTGGAAAAACTGCGTTCAACGTCTCTTCACAAGTGCTGCTTGCGCACAGGAATTAGCTGGGCCCCATGCCTCCAAGTGCAAATCCTTGATCTCCAATCACACTCAAGTGTGAAGATCTCGGACAAAGTGATATCCCAAATACCAGAAGGTTGCAGTGCATATCCAGGTGTTGCTAGGTGTTTTCGGTGCGCCAGGACCCCGAAGAGCTGGTGAGTCATGCAGGCCACGGAGATGCCGATGGTTGGTGGCAGGGGCTGTTTCCGCGACAGGAGTGTCTTCGAATTTTTGGTTAGAAATGTATGATCCTGATTGTCGACTGAAACGGACACTATTCAGAATTTTCAGACCTTAAGATGTCTTGACTTTCAGACCTTAAAAATCCTTAAGATGTCTTGATTTGTCTTGGAGTTCTGAAGTATCAGCTGTACCAGTAGGTTCATCAGGGTCAACGGATTGCCTAAGAAGTGGGCGCAGAATTGGAGGTGTTGGTTTCTCTTGAAAACACATATCTCTTGAAAGCAAAACAAGCAGTCTATGGTGGTCTTTGACTCTTGATTTCAGGGTCTCACCTTTCAGGGTCTCGCCTTTCAGGGTCCAGAGCAAATTGCAGGAATTGCACACCCAAGGAATTGCGGAGGTTTGGCTTTCGGAGCTGGGTTGTGTTGCGAGGCACCACACCTCACGACCTTGCAAAGGACGGCGATGACAAGAAGGTCATATGTTTTGCGGGAGCCAGTCCCATGGCAATACAGTGTTCAAATGTGTTCAATATGTCAGAATGTTCAATTGTTCATTATCTTTTTGCCTGTAGTGCTGACACAGGTATATTCAGGAACTGGCTGGTTGGACCTTGAGTCTTCAAGTGTAAATCCTCGTGGTCTGCCATCAAATTCTATCGGAATGCGTCTAAAGTTGCTTCACATTGTGAGGGTTGCTCATAGAACTGACCTTCGACTTGCAGAATCTAGCTAGCAGCCAGTGCATGAGCCAAGCGGCCAGGTTTTCGTGGCTCTGCTGAGCGGCAAAGACTGTGAATGTGACTCGGCCGCCCCTTTGTCCATGCAAGGTGTAAGATGGTGCAAGCATGTGTAAGCTAGTTTAAGCATGTAGAATCGCTGCAGTTGATGTGCAAAGAAGTGGCTACTGTCGATCTTCAAGAGTTAATTACAGTTGCAAATTCATGAATCAATGTTGTTCTCCGAATCAATTGGCATCAGATGTGATCACCCGGTTGGTGCCTACACGGCTGCATCACTGGACTATGTTGATACCTCCACTGACTCTTGTTTGCTTTTTCGGAATCTCAGGCCTGTGGTTGCAAGACCGGACTATCTGACAGCTGAAAGAAGAAGCTCAGCACCTTAGCAAGTTAGGTGTGCAGCATATCATGTGGGGTTTGGATGGTTTGGTCCTGGCTTGTCTTTGGCGACTTTGTATTCTCTCCGACACTGTTTTGGTGTTTTCTGTCTTGGTGTTCCTTCTGCTACGTAGGTGTCTCTCTTACTGGTTGTGCTACGTGCAAAAGTTGTCAAACAGGAGCCGAGGAAGAACATGCCCAAGGCATTTGCATGGCCTTCAATGCTCGGTTGTACTTCCTATTTAGAGTGGTATAATGTGGTATACGGTATACTTGTTTTATCGAAGTGTCAATTATTTTCAAAGAGGCCAGGGAATATCAACTTAGACGCAGAATAAAGCAGGCGCAGTCAGTTTCTGGCGCTGCTCACACACTTCCGTTACGAAATGAGAGAAGAGCAGGGGATGGGTTGCAACCTGCAGTGCCCCACAGTTGAGTTGGACACCCGAGGCAAAAGCTGGATATTGCCATCAAGCACTTGATTGGTCCCGACATGGAGCCGTTGCTGCTTGGGCTGCAAAGAACTCTTCTAAACTTTCGCCTGTTTCATTGATGTTGCACTTGCTTAAGTTTGCAGTAGGATGCAATCGGACATGCAACCAGACCTAAAACACGATGTTGTGGCAGCAGTGAAACTCATACTGGGTCCATGGGCCTTTCTGTAACATCCGTAATGGACCCAGCAATGTCTTTGAGATATTTGGCAATGTCTTTTTGAAAATTGTGTAGGCAGCGATTAAGTCCAGGAAAGTCCGATTAAGTCCAGGAAAATACAAGTTTGGAAAGGCTCATTCGGTGAAGGACAATCAGAATGACAGCGTCCTCTGGAGAATGACTCGGGTTAGAACATGTTAGAACAATTTGTGAAAGCGGAATGAGATATTCTGATATTCCCAGGCATTGCAACTTGCAAATAAGACACGTGCATGTCATTTATGGTTCGGATGTTCATACCAGTCCAACAGCAAAACAAAATGAAGGTCTCTTGAATCAAGATCACAAATTCTGGAACAAGAGCTTCGCTCGTTCAAGAGTACCTTTCCGATCCTTTCCGTATTTGCCAAGGGATGAAGAGAAGATGCTCGCAGAAGAAAACGTCATGCCTGGCACAACGCTGACGGTCGTTGCAGCGGCCTGGCCCGTGACAGGAGCAATGTGACAGTAGTTCACCTGTCAGTGGTTGGGGGCCTTCAAATTCAAACAAGATTAAGCTCTTGCGCAGAAAGAGAAGAACAAGTTGCAAGAAGAACAAGTCAAGAACGAGTCAACCCATTTTGACATTGAAATGATTACATGATAAGCATCCCCAGCTCAAGCAAGACAACCAGCGCATTGCAGCGCATGCCCATGATGATTGTTCAAATGCTTCAACATGCACCATACTGATTTCGTGTTTTGGGATGGCGGGGCAAAAGCATGTTGTGCAGCATTGCATGTTCAGAAGCATTTGTCGAGACTCGACCTGGAGGACCATTTATGTCCATGTCTATGTCTGTCACATTGCGCGTGGATAATGAAGGCAAACATGCTTCATGAAGTGGTGGATCCTCAGCATGAGACCGCCTCCCTAAACAAGTTTCCGGACTTGACTTCAATGAAAACGCTTGTAATTCACCGGTGAGTTTTGTGTCTGTTCACTTGGCAGCTGAGGTAAACCAGGCAGCAGAGGATGAGAAAGAAGCGGCAGAATGCTGGGCTCTCAGCAGTTGATCCCGGGTCTGCTCCCTGCATGGTCAGCACTTTCTCGACACATCTCGACACACATTGCACAAATTTACCAAACTAATTCTGAAACGATATCCCATCATATCCCATCATATCCCATCATATCCCATCTGACCTCAAAATCAGATGTTTCATATTGTTTCATGATGTTTCTATTTTCTCCCAGTCTTCGTTCTATACAATTCAAGCATATCCAAACCATACAATACACATAGTTGTTGAGCCAACAAGTTCAGAGGAGTCAGACTGATTGCATGAGGTTATCGTGATTACTTACAGTACATTCTAGCTCAAGTTTTTTTTTTTGTTTGGTCTTTTGCCCTTCCACCGGGCTCCCCCGTAGGCAACAACGACATCGTCCTGGCGGCCTACTTCGGCCACCTCGGCGCTGTGCGGCACCTGCTGCGGTTCCGTGGCCTGGTGCCGTGGCCTCGAGGGGCGAGGGCCGAGGTCGACGCCAGGAACGACTATGGCCTCTCGGCCCTGAAGAGATGGATACACGGTGCTTTGGGAGATTTCAGGGTGCAAAAAAAATCGAATTCAACATGTGAAATGATGTGAAATGATGTGAACTGTAAATGGTAGGGTGGGTTTGGTGGGTTTGGTAGGTTTTTATAGGGCTTTAAAAAAAGCAGTTTCCAGTTGAAATAATTTGGATCAACAACCACATCACATGGTCAGGATTTGTAAAAACAACAGATATCACTCAATTCAAACAACTATAACTTGAATTTTTGAAAGTAATGAAAGGATTTGAATTGGGGACATTTTCTGCTTTTGATGGAGCCTTGGATGTGCGCCTTCTAGGAGACTTGGCACATTCATGGATTTTTCACAATCTTTTCACCATCTTCGGTGTCTTCGCTTTGCTTTGCATCAGAAGGACATTTCTGGGAGCAGTCGCTCGCCCGAGGTGAAACCCCGTTGCACTGGGCGGCGGGCAACGGCCAAGTAGAGACGGTGAAGCTGCTCCTCGAGGCGAAGGCCTCGGTGACTGTGAAAGACAACAAAGGCTGGGGGCCTCGGCTGGGAGATGTGATGGGCTTTTGATGGCTTTTGCTTGATTACTTATTACTTCTCTTATTAAGTCCTATTACTACTTGCTTATTACTTTCTGGCGGCTGTTTTGTTTGTTGAACGTTGAGACTTCCTGTGGTCAGTAGTCAAGTCAAGGTGTCTTAGGGTCCTCAGGCACTAGGGTTGTTTAGCTGAAGGTGATTGGAGATGCCGAGACAATCCGAGACACAGTACGCATTTAGATTGACATTCTACGACATCCTCAAGACACATCATTGCTTGAAACAACGCAAGCATACGCAAGCAGCATGAGAAGACGTCTCAACGGATGGAGACTCACTGAATGTTTGTTGATAGAAATATGATCAATGGTATCCGGTATCTGTGAATGTGCACAACGCACATCCAGCCTCCGCATGTGCAATAAGTTGAATGAAATGATGCATGCATAATACATACACACATCCTCATTCGTTCGAGATATTTGTCAAGCCGCCAGAGCGAAATTTTTCAACACCGAACTTGCCATCTCAAAGCTGTATGGACATATATGGACAACCTGATTCTCTGTTTTTTTTGTCATTGGAATTCTTTGCCCTCCTGGACTGAACTACAACAAGAACTGTTCAATCGGTTGATTTTGTGTTGAGGCAGGCATTTTACTTGAAAGCAACATCTCGGGAATACTTTTCTTACATACTTATATTCAGGAGAAGCAACATTTCATTTTTTTATTTGTTTTGGCGTGGGAGTTTGAATTTGAAGGTCTCATTCAACTTCGAATGCCACAAAGGGATGCTGAAGTGATGTGAAACTGCAGTCTTTCCACAAGTTTCAACACAGTCTATGAACGCTACCATGAAAGTTAATGGCAAGCTCTGGACTCTGGCCCTGGGGTTCAAGGAGGGCTTGTCTCTGGGAGATGGAACTTCAGCCCAATCAACATGGGGTGTGAATAGTGTTTGGAGCAGCTTGAATAACTGGTGTGAAGAATGAAGGCCACCTTTTTTTTTCGTATTAAAGTGGCGGAATTTGACACACTAGATGCTTCGCCAGTAAATCCTTCAAGATGGCTCTTGAAATTACAGCAAGACCCATGAGTGTGGTGCAATCAACATCAATTGCAGCGCCCAGGCCAGACTCGATTGTGCCTTGCGCAAACAGATGGCCACAGTGAGATTGTGCAGCAGAATCTTGGCTGCACAAATGTGCAACAAGAGCAGGTCGTTCGTTTCGGAGTCCGACTGCTTCCAGCAAGACGCGGCCCTTGCAGCCGCAGATTTTGATGGCACCTTTGCGCCACCTGAGGCATGAAGCTCCAAGATTTGCGCATGGAGCAACTCAGCTCTGTTGGTGCGATCTCCGGATTGATGCGGTTGAAGACCTTCATGATCCTTCATGTTTCAACGCGCCCTTGGTCGAATCGGTACGACAATGCAAAAAATGTGCGCGCAACAATAGAACTATTTTGCGAGAGGCGCGCAATTTAGTTTGGGCTCTTTTCTTGCTCAGATATGTTTCGACAACAGACCTGGAGTTTCCCTTTCAACCATTTTGTTTACTTGAAGTGGCTGGAGTCATCATGCTGCTTCTTGGTGCATTCTGGTTCAAGCCTGGGAAGATTGAGGACAAGTAGAGTTGAAAAAACATCTGCCAACATGTGCAGGTGGAAACCTGACGAAACCGTTTGACACAGAAAGGGACAAAATTCAGAAGGGCAAGTTCATTCATTTGTCATTTTCCAATTACATCCAATTGCTCTATGCTCAGGTACCGTCTCATGTGGATGATTTTGCTCATCGAATCTCACCTGGCAGCTGCATGGCTATGCGAGTGGCTCCAACTCTTCAGGCAACGGGCTTGCCTTGCCCTCAAAATGCTGAAAGTCTGAGAATAGTTGAGCTGGGCAACCATGCGGACTCAAGATCAAGGAGTATCATGGAACCTTTTATTTTGCTTAAAGATATGTTGACGGTTTGAAAATGAAGTGTGTTCAATCTTCTCTCAATTCAACCGCAGTGCGGAACGTCGTTGCCATGATGTTGGGTGGACTTTTGATCAAATATAAATATCGAGGGTCATTTGGGGCCCCCATGACTCTAGCGGGCTGCTTGGCTGCTTGTCACAAGCTGTTCTCGGAGGCCTGGAACTTGGAAATCCACAGGCAATACTTCTGAAACTTACCAACATCCCACCTCAATCTCGATCTCTTTGCTGAAGATGTGGGCAGTGTCCAAGACCTCCCATGATGTGCTTCGAAAGAGTTGCTTCACGGATCTTCAAAGAACCAGAACCCATCCACATCAACTCCAGATTGTGCGGGCAGAAACATGCCAAGAATATTCCAAAGTGTTCAACTCAATGTTTGGCCTCCGAAGTTGATTCCTTTGCAGGCGCGACACTTCATGGCCTGGTAAAAGAGAAGGACAACCATCAGGTGATGGCTTTGCAGGCACCAGCCCCTTGGCAGAATTGCGCAACTGCTGCTAACGCAGATACACACAGGGATGGGTGGAGCCTATGCCATGCAGATCTCGTACAAAGTGATATCCCGAATGCCACTAGGGAGCAGTGCATATCCAGTTCTTGCCATGTTTTTACCCCCCTGCATGGGTCTGGCCCTGCTGTAACGTGCCAAATTTGACAAATAGGAACAGCGACCTCTTTTCAACCTGGCCGAGAACTGGACAGTCTTCCGGTTGGATTGTGGTGTGAGTCACACTTGCACAGTGCTTTCGGATTTCCACTCCAACGAACGCACCGCCTGAAACTTCAGGTTTCGGCTGCAGGGTTTCTGATCCGGATATGAAGGGGACAAAGATCCTCTGTGTGCTGGAGCCAAAGGCATGAAGCCTGGTGATGCAGGCCCATTCCTTGCTTGATTTCAGCCACTGAGTCACTGACACAGACTGTGTTGCGGTGAAAAGTTGCACCCAGCCAGGCATTTCAGCGTTTTTGGGATTTCCATCCTCGAAAGCTGTGAAGTGAATATGTTATGCACTTATAGTGTCACATAGCGTGATGAAGAATGACATGAAGAAGTGCATCGACTGTGGAGACCCTTTGGTAAAAAACAGCTCATGGTTCTCTCGTTGCTCTCTTCGCAGTCAGATTTTCAGAGTGATTTTAGTGTTGTGTCCTGTTGCGCTGGCTGGGGATTGGCTTGGGGTAGAGCCACAAACGCACTTGTATGCTGTAAATATCTGTAAATTCATGTTTCTAAAACGCATGCAACTCCTATGGCATTTTGGAGATTGGCAGAGCTAATGCACAGGTGTTTGTCACTGCCTTCTAATGATGTGGGTGTCCCTGGATTTCTCATCGCATGTAATTACTTTCTTTACAACGTCTGAAAATATTCGCGATAGGCAAGCAGATCAACCAGAAACAGTTAGAAGAGACGTACGGCGCACAAGTTACTTCTGCATATATAATTTCCATAATTTCCGTCAATCTCTCCTGATCTAAGGTGTTTCCTGCTTGAAGTGTGGAAACGTCTGTAATACTTTCTTGCAATATTAAGCCTCACCAACAGACATTTACCATGCATGATTGACAGATTCCTTCATGTTCCTGCGTTCAAGTGACGCCCAGTGATTGATTGGTGCGGTTGGCTCCACAGGTCCTTTGTTTACCGCAGCATCTGGCAGCCCAAGAGATTCGCTGAACTTTCAAACCTTGCCGCTGACAATGACCTTCTGTTTTGACTTCGTCAGGCTTGTCCACCTTCAATGCAATGCTCTGGTTGTTGCGTGCCGTAGTTTGACACTTTGGAAGTTTGAGGGCCAAGATAATGTGTCACCCGGGATTGCCATTGAAAGAAGAAGTATTTGAATTTGCCCCACATTGAACCAAACAATCCCCCATGCATCAAAGGAAAATCCATTGTCATGCTCCACTTCCCTGAATCTTTCCTGGAGGGGAAGGAATAGAAGCATTGCCATCGACATGAAACCCATTACCATGGGTACCAGAGTACCGCACAAGGTAGCGGCGGAAGTTTCAAAAATAGGAAACCTATAGGGGAGGTTGGTTGTTGTGACTCACGGATGGCAGAGGGAATCCACTGATGGACCGAAAGGTGATTGGAGTTGTGTTTTTTGTAATGGTTGCAATGGTTGCAGTGGTCACCTCGCCGCAACTGCTGGATGTAGTGTGGTGTAGTGCAGTTTTAGTTGTAGTTGTAGTGTATTTGAGTTGTAGTTGTAAGTTGTAGTTGTAATGTAGTGTAACTAGTGTAGTTGCAGTTGCAGTTGTAGTTGTGGTGTGGTGTAATTAGTGTAGTGTATTGTAGTGTACTGCAGTGTTGGTATAGTGTAGTGTAGTCTAGTGTATTATAGTCTAAAGTAGTGTAGTTGTATGTTGTAGTGTAGTGTCGTGTAGTGCAATGTAGTGGTAGCTGCAGTTGTAGTGTAATGTAGTGTAATTAGTGTAGTGTTGTAATGTAGT